AAATGTGTATCAAATTTTCTTCCTTAGCCACGACTTGCATGGTTCAATAGATCTGTTGTTCGATTATAGAAATAAATACACTTTTATCCATTATGTTTTGGGCAACAGCGAAATGGATCATGTTGTCATATTGACGAGAATTTCTGTTTATGGCAGAAACATGAGGCGCCGCGCGGACTGCCTTGAAAGCTAGTGACGAATATAATGTGTTCCTATTACAAGTTGGGATGAAGATGTATTATTTCTATCATCTGCAAACTCTTAGAAGAACTGAACAAATGTTTTTGTTGATTAACGATAGCACCATTCGACATGCAATCGTTTGTAATTTTTGCTAGATTTTTTAAATGTATTGTAATAGATATGGATGTAAAACTATACTCATCACATATTTTAGTTGATGATCCATCGAAATCAAGTTTCTTAAGAATTAATTTTCTATAGTTGCAAGTCGTTGAGAATGCGGATCAGCATTGAAATTGTTTTTTCAGGATTAGCTGAAAAACGTAAGTGAAAGTCCAAACATATTAATTTTCGACGAAATTGGACTTGGATACATAAATGTTGTAAACAAATGGGTTTAAAATTATTATAAACAATTATTGAAAAACACGCTCATTGTTACCATTTTATAATTCTCCTGACAGTAACAGTGTTAACATTTTTCACAAAAAGTACTGCTTCTCATCAGGTGAATGAAAGAAATTTTAAAGTAATGGGGATAGGAAAACCAGATTTACCAACTAAACAAAGCCCGGAACAAGGAACTAACATTGCCATCCAGTAGTACGAAACTATACCTATCGTATGATACAGCTTTTTACAAAACAATTCGGAAGTTAATGCAAAAAAACGAAACACCATTGTTTATAAAATAGTTCCGATGATTCAATTAGCACGAGTTTAAGTGTAGGTATACACCATTGCTTCAACAAATCATTAAACAATCTTGTTTAGATATATCGTTCGTTCTACTCAGAAATATGACACTGAAGCCATTAATACCAGATTTTTTTGTTGCGATAAAATTCTGATCATATCGATAATTTGAAAAGATTTTCTAATTGTGCAAATTTCTCCAAACATACGTCATGTCGTTATCGCAAATGCGTCATTTAATTTGTGATCCCAGTGTTGTATTGTCTGATAGAACAAGCAATATTATGCATTATTAAAATATGACTTTAAAGCATGTCATATCGGATCGTTGCCTAAAATAAAATATCAGAGACACTTATCGATTTTTTTTATTCTCCATCCAAGAGATTCTATGACTGGAAATTATTCTGAATTTTCGTAATGCGGTATATGGTATAGATATTAAGTTAGAAATACAGCTTTAAGCTAGGTAGTTGAGTATTTTGGATTTTTTTGCTGTCGGATAGAACATTTCATCAGAATAGTTTCCAGTGCATTTCTAGAATTCACAAGAAAAACTGGGATTCTGTTTGTATAACATTTTCAATGGATAAACTCTAATGTCATAACCTTAGCTAGGTTACGAAGAACAAACAAATTGACTTTGTAGATGTAGATACGTCTGAAGCTGCCAATTTAAAGGTCCTGTACAATCAGCTACATTATCGACACAAAAAAAATGAACAACAAAAGCGACTCATACGTTACGAACTTTTAAGACCCTCCTACCAGTTTTTATATCCCTAATCGTAGGTCGAGTATTTGATTTTTGACTACTCTCCGTGGATAAGTCAACTTTGAAGCTGACTGAATGATGTTTTGAACTCAGGCCTAAATAAAACCATATCATCAAATATTTGCTAAGAGGCGTACTTCTATTTCTCGAATATAGGTGAATCAAGTATGAACCGGACTTTTGTTTTAGTAATTTTATTGGTGTAGTAAATACAAGTTTGTTTACATCTTATTTTTCTACATAATCTCTTCTCTTGTTGATGCATTTTTTCCATCGAATCGGAAGTTTTTTAATTCCCCTATCAAAATCTTTTCTTTTCGCGGTGCTGCCTCTCCAGGCTTTCGCCACTCCATGGAATTTTTTTTGTCAGTCGTATACTTGTGTCCTTAAACTGTCTTGTCGCCGAACAGTGACTCCCCTCTTCCCGACATCCCCACCCAACATATACCAAGGCGTCGCCCCACTCCATTCACCTATGCCGCATTAAATAGAAAAGTCCGGTTCATATTTGATTCACCCTCGTAGTTTAGTAAGTTGTAAATGTTCTAAACATCGTGCGATTTTATTTCAATTAAATGCTGCTGAATCTCCACCTCATAAATAACGCCATAGTTACGCACATATTTAGTTAAGTTAATGTATCTTGACACCGATTCTTTGATATATTTGTGGAATACTGTGCTCTTTATAATATTGACATTTTTTTGAAATATATCCAGGTTACGAAAAAATTATCTTCCTAAGAAGAAAGATATTTTGAAATTAAAGGAAATTTGACCCAATTTGGAAAAAATCATTGAACATAGAAGCACTGAAGGAAAATATTATATCATTCGCTTTTCTTGTTCATGTTTTTTTTGTGTATCTATGCATATATTATCAAATAGTTGGAATGCTTTTATGTTCAACAGGTGACAGTTTTTGTTACTGGGTATCATTATTACCTCTACTGGCGTATCGTACTTCTCTAAGGTTACTTTTGCTGACCAGGTCCGAAGTCCTAAACCTATCGCTATAAAAGATAAGAAAGAAATTCTGAATATGTAAATACTAGTTACAGGGTGCATATTCAGGCTACCTATATCCTTTGAACTATATGTATACTGACTTTTAAATGTATGTTATAATTTTGTTTACTAGATAAAGTGTTTATAAATGTATATAGCATATTGAAATTGCTTATAATATAAAGAGAGTGAAATGAATAGCAACGTTGAGATTTTTGTTTGGTAGACATTTTTTTGTTAATACTCGTAATAATCATGATTGGAATTAAAATAAAACTATGTGGCACTACCGTTGACTTGTCTTTCATTACACCACTTTTGGAAAACACCCTGCATTACGAAGAGGACAGGAGAAATTTGACAAAGGTAATTTTGCATGTATTTTATATACTTTGACATTTACTACAACACTCTACTTTTATCACATTTCTGCTTGAATCATGATACATTCATTACATCATTTGACATCATCAGAACATCAAAAATTACAAGGAAAGACAGACAGAGGTTACACCAAACACAACACATCAATTGCCGGATAAAATTGTATTTTAAAACAATATTTACAGTTTTATATTACGACTAGACGAGAAAATACCTTGTAAAAATAAATCTTTATATTACTGACTACACGGTGGGCTATAAAAAACTATAATATGGCTTTCGGTATGTCTTAAGTATTAAGAAGAGCTTTCCGCTATTTTCTCAATAAACTCGAACCACTGCTTGCAAAAAATTTCTTAGCTGTTCTTATTAAGCGGATAACCAAATGGAAATGCTATTTACCATTTTGGGTTGGTATTTACCAATCCGTTCAAGCGAGTGTAGTTATCAGTTTGGTTATGAGATCCGTGACGTCACGAATCAGCTGTTATATGTCATAGTTATCACCTCAAAATTGTGGTATTTACCCAACTCAAGAGTAGTTTTATATTTCTGGTTATTATTTGAAATGTGAGAAGTTAGAATTTTGCCGGATATTGGATATTGTTATTGTACTTCAGCTTCATTTTTGAGAAAAATGATACAGGCTGACTTCAGTTTTACCATAAAGTGGAGCACCTTATTAGTTATATTCATTACGGTTGTTGGGGACACTTTAAATGTAGTTTCTATGCTTAACAAAGTATCCTGTGTAGCCATATACCACAAGAATATTAAAATAGGGCCATATAAACTCACTAGATGATATCCACCTGTATACGGTTTTGCTATTTTCTTTTTTCATCATTTCTGCTGAATCAATAAATGTTTTCTTTGACATGCGGAAAAATTTAGAAAATTGAAAGTTATCATAGCTACAAAGCCATGGTTCCATCATTAAAAAAAAATCTGAAAAAAACATTTATCCATGAATATTATGAAAGGTTTCTTATTTAAACTTTCCATATACAGTTGTAGACGAAAAAGCACCGATTATTAAGTGATAATAAAAATAATCAGAGATTATATACGCGCTTTTCTAAAATAAACAACTTGCAACAAAACCGCGGTTAAAACCAACGCGTTCAAGCGATTCGTGTAACTGACGTCATCAGCCCGTGTGTCATCTTGAACCATATTATAACCGCGGCACATAACACAGAAATTTTGGTTATTCGCTTGGATTTGATTATTGAGTATTAATTAGAAAATACCTTACTAAACTCAATACTTGAATGAACATTTTTAGTGCAGTATGAGTAAAAATACGGATGATGAATTTAACTTCTGTGGTTATCTTGTTGATGTTTATACCTAGTAAAAAGTTATTCTTCTGGTGAAAATGGAAAATGGGGGACATAGTATTTTAATGGTATTTTTCGAACTTATTAAAGACATTGTTTTTATAGTCCCCAAAGAAACAGTATAAATTAAAACTGCAACGCCTCTACCGAATATTGTCTCGGTCTTAAAATCAACCTCAAATTTTTGACGTTTAAAAGCCTCCATTTCCAGTAATTATACGCACATATTAGGCATATTTTAATCATCATAGATGTTGCCGTACATTTACCGTTAAAACTTGGAAAAATCTCATACAATCGGCTGTCGATACGTGCGACGTCGTTCACCGATGGACAATGGTCGTCGTCGGTGGTCGTACATTACAGTCGGCAATCGCATCCACAATACTGCGGGCTGCGTGAACGTGTGCATGGTGAAGGCCAATATCATCATTAACGTCGGAGGAAGGTCATTTAATTTTTTTTAAAGATCTAACTTGTGCCAAGCGTAATCCTCTACGTAGCGTGGGAAGTACAGAGCCAACTCACTTGACGTTACTTTTAATTCATCAAATAGACCAGAATCGCTCTAAAATAGCTCATTTCTACAATCCGTTCTTCTTTTGCACACAGTGAAATTCATGCCGGACGAGAAGCCGGCCGCCCCCCAAGTGGTGTACGCCCCACCGCCTCCACCTCCACCAGCACCTGGAGCCACGCCTGCCCCGCAACCTGCTGCAGGCTAAGGGCAGCCACTCTGAGCCATCTTTGCATTCTATTACCAACACTATCGACGGCGCCGAGTTCGTTTTCTATCCTTCTCGTATCAACTCGTAGATTACAGACATACGTCGATCTTCACTGACAGCCAGATGAGAGCAGGTATGCTGTACGTGTAGGTTGGAGACGCCACAGCACTTTATAAAATTGGAAATTCTTATTTCGTATTGCGAGTTTTGAAACGTTTTTGATAATCGTACGGATTTGGTATGCGGCGTTCATTTTTGGTCAGCCACGACAGACTTGGCTCGAATACTGAAATACGGCATGCGAATATGAATCCTCTATTTTAAATTGTGTTCGAATACTCAAGATTCAAATACAAAGAAAATATTCGAATACCATTATTTTGAGTACCTTGATTCATTTAAATAAGAATACATTCTGAAGATTCCAATTAAAAAACATATGCGCACTTTGAATAAAACTTAAAATAAGATCTTGACGTACAGTGTCACAGTGAAGTTATACAAATTTATTCTTTGGTTTTTATTAGATTTTTATAGACAATTAGTAGAATAAAAATAAGAAAATGTATGAATCTTACACAAAGTACTTGCATAATTAAAAACCAAACTAACCTTTCTATATCTACTTTATCTGCCATATCACACAAATATTTACAGGTATTAAAATTTATTATAAAACAGGGTTCGAATACAAAGTAGCTATTCGAATATTGGGATTCAGGAGCGGTAATCAGAATCCAAAATACCGAGTACTGACCAAAACAGTATAGTCAAATACCAAATACCACTTTTCACAATTCAAATACCAACCAAATGTATTCTGAATATAGGATTTAAAACACCGAGTATTCGAATACTACTCAAGTCTGAGACACGAGCAGCATCCAATATACAGAACTTTTCATTAGTCTCGGTACGTGAGGATCTGATTCTCGTATTTATTGTTAAAGTTAGGGATGATTCACCTGATCCACATCTCTCGATCTAGATCTGTGGATCGTATCGATCGCTTGTCAAGGGACCGCTGTTGACCTATTGGAACGAATACTCAAAATATTTATGTCGGAGTTAAATCATAAATCCTGAATGTGAACGTAGTTGCGTGACCTTAGGGGCAAACAATGCATAATATTAAAAAAGATTACCGTATTCATAGATTGTGTCGCATAATTTCTAGGTGCATGTAAAGAAATGCAACAACTCTAACAATTTTTACCAAAGACAGGTTTGCTTACCTAGACAGTCCTGACTCCCGATCAAAGGTAAATTGTTATCTACCTATTAGGTCGCATCCTGTAGCAAATACTGTAAACTTGTGTTGTCTAAGAAAGTTTTTTCCAAAATCCCTTATAATTATTTTATTCTTCCATTATACGCCATACGTCAAGAAAAAAGTTAATCAGCCTTGAGAATAACAGTAATAGTAAGGGTTGCATGTACAAAATTCGAATATAGTATGAACAGACTTTTTACAAGATTGAAATAAAATTTTGAGGTCTGTACAATAGCGGGAGGATTTGCATGCCTTTCATCTGGAAGGAGGTTAACTTATGTCGAGATCTCCTACTCGTGATCTTTTTTACAAACGAAAACTCGTGCACCTTGCGTTATTGAGACAAAAGTTATTTATGCATGTTAGGTTGTTTACAACTGTGTCCAGTAAATGTAATAGAACTACACGTAATTTACCATACGAGTAAATATTTCAAAATTATATATGAGCATTCTGGAAAAATATATGGTCCCGTATCATCGTATATTCAATCTAAAACCACAAACAAGTAGTATAAATACATTTCCCTCCCAAAAACGTAAAAGACGTCTTTGAAGTATAAACTGTACGGGCTGCAATTTTAGATTCACCAATAATTGTAAACGATAAACTTGCATAATTTTAAGATTTTGAATCTTAGAAAAAGGCTTGATTTTACAATGAAATTGAATGTGCAATACATTGAAAACTATATATGTCTATATATAATGACGTAAAATCTAAATACTATTTTAGAATTTCAATAGCAAATTTGAGTAAATGAAATTATAAATTTGCACTAAGATGATACTTATAGCTAGTTTCATATTCACCAACATGCTTTAAAGTGTACATAACATTACAATAATGTATTTTTTGTATTTAATGATTTTTACAAACTTAGGCTCAGTTCCCTAACACATGATGGAAACAAAATGATTGAAATTAATTTAAAACTCATTATAATCGCATGCATTAGAATATGGGTAGAAATCTAATTAAAAAAATAAAACACGGAACAGTTTGTATTGTATACAACGATTTTCAATTCACGGCGTGGTGTCTGTACGACATCAAATCTGATTATAAATGGCTATTAACGTTGATATTAGGATATGAATAATATATATTGGTGTACTTATCTCAAAGAAAATGAACTCAGTGTTGCTGATTATTTCAACGTGAATCACTATATTATACTTTGTAAGTACCTTAAATGTATGTACGCTGTGTGAAAGTCGAAAGTGTGTTTGATTCTGCGACGTCCCATTATCTTGCCGAAATTGCCTTTTTTATTTTTGGTTCGATAGATATATGTCACTCCTATAAATTCGACACCCCTAATATGGTAACACAATGAATAAAATAAATATTTCCGCATCACTGCTTCTGAGAGCGTATGTCCATGTGACAATTAGGACAGGGTTCTATCCCATGCGTCGCCCTCCAACTTCCTTTAGGCTCTTTGGCGTCCCCGCCCCCCTTCCTAAGGCTCCAGCGCCCACAAGGGGGCGTTATAGTCCATTTTGAGAAACACGTACTGCTCTTCACCTTGCTTTAAAAGCACTTAGACTGATGAGGTGACTCATAAGTTGCAAAGATCGTGAATTTACTCCTACAACTCAAAGTACCACTCAAAGCTCATATCGCCATTTAAGTTGAGCCGTTCATGTTGTAATGGAAAGGTACCTTAATACATTTTAAACAAACTGGTTACCTGGGCCGATAGTGTTGTGATATATTACCTGACAAAATGTGATACACTCAGAAAAAAAATCCAAATTTTTCAGCGATTTTTGACATGTTGTGTTTCGGTGAAAAATGATCGTATCTAGACTTTAATTATAGAGTAAAGTAAAAATAATTTTTCACAGAAATACAGCTTGTTGAAAATCACCGAAAAATTTTTTCGTCTCGGGGAGGGGGTTGCTCTGATTCCAAATTGACGAACTAACAGCTAGACCGTATCAAAATTTTTCCCAGGCAACAGGCCACTAGATCGAAAGTTTAAATCTTGTTAACTAAGGTGGCGTTGCAGTATTATGCATACGAAACAACACATTCACGGTTGTGATAATCACAATGTGTACTACTTAAATAGATTAATATTATTGAAGTACTCTGGCCAACTCAACGATATAATCTCACACTTAAGACTGTATATATGTACGTAGCTTTAATTAAGCATTGCTGAAAAATTAGAAGCTGTTAGTTATTGTAATCAATGTTAAGATGCATTTATGAATCAGTAAAGTGTTAATAACCAATATGCATATATAGGTATCTTTGAATTAAATGAGTAATTGAGCTTAGACGTAGCTTTAAACATAAGCAAACATCAATAGATTATGATTTACTGTGAGATTATGTTGTGGCTTTTCTACTTTTATTGGTTATGTATAAAGTGTGAAATAAATTAATAAATAATCATAACTGAAGTCTTTGCTTTTTATTCGTAGGGACAATTAGATTCCCACTGGAGTATCTTTTATGTAGTGTTCCTCGATGCTCAATGAAGATGGGTAATAATAAATTAAAGGTGCTACTGAATATTATTTTATTTGCAATAATAAATAATATATTATTATTAACATGGCATACATAATTACATATCTACACAAAACTTTCGAACAAATCCACTAGCCTTTTGATCTCCTTTCTGTAAAAACATTAAGGAAATTAAAAATAATGGTTTTAACCACATCTTGGTTCATAAAATCTCCCCAATCAAATATTTCAACAATAACCATAGGTATTTTCCCAGGTTACTTTTTATTAAAAATTCATAATACGAAACAGAATTTCGAGTAAATGAAAGGATACATTCTTGCTGCATGTGTTTCTACGATTTTCATCGACTGGGTAACTTCCTCCACTTTAGCCATCATTGTATACATACTCTAAAAAGAAAATGTTATTCTATAAATACACTCGTTATAGACTAACTGACACATATTACTAACCTTTATATTTGAGTCCATAGCATCTGACATTTTTGAAACTGCATTTTTATATACATCTACATTATCGGCGGTTATAGATGATATCTAATAAAAAAACATTGTTAGGTAAAAGTAGCAAAAATAATTTGAAAAAAATGTTTATGCATAGGATTCAAGTGCAACTGACAATATATATTACGGTGGTCATAGGAAAGCAATGGTCGGAACTCTTTCTCAAAATGTCCATATTTAAGAACAATTTTATTATAAGAATGCATTGATATAATGCTAAGCTTGTAGTGTTGATGTGAACTGATTTTCAGTATAAAAGATATTATTTGGAATAATTTTCCTGAGGTGGCAGGTGTGGGTCAAATTAAATTGAGAAACATCTTTTTCATTTTTAATTAGAGTAGTGTAAACCTTACCGAATGTAAAATCTCGGACAAATTTTCTATTAAGCTATCAATTGATGTTGCCATTCTATGAGCCTCGCATTCTAGATCATTTATCAACGCAGTATCTAGCTGTCCAATTTGAGGTCCTAAAAGCTGCCTATATAGTGGACTAGGGGTGCAAGCTCTTGAGCTAGATGAAGTTCCAGGTGTGTCTGTAGAAATTATTATTATTTCTAATTCTTATAATGCAAGCTGCAATTTCAAAGTAGAAAAAATTCTGCTGCCATTTCCAAGGGATTTTCACCCACAACGCCAGTATTATGGACTCACAATTCATCAAACTAAGTGACGAATCTCAAAGAGTTGCTTTGATATTTTGATGTTATTGAGTCATGCTAAATCTGGGATTTTTCCAGTCAGGCGGAAATTTTATATCTATAGTCAAAATCACGAAAGACGACTATTACGTCATGCTATAAGTTGTTGTGAAGTAATCAATGGACGTACGTCGATGATAAAATCACGATTTCAGGAACATGGTTTTGAGTGATACCTTAATAATAATTTTAGTGGGGATCTTTTCAAAGACCAAAGTATCATTCGAAAACAACCTAACCTGCTTTAACATAACCTAACTATCCATCTTTCAAATATGATCGATCGTGCATCATGAAAACATCGTCTATCTTTGTCGGGTACATGCAAACTAGCAATACAGTTTGTTTAGACAATAAAATTCTGTTTGTTTCTGTCTAACATATCTGGAACTTCGTTAAAAATACTCACAAATCGCTGTCGTTTGTCTTCACTACAAACTAAATTGATGACGTAATCGTCATCTTTCGTGATTTCGACTATATCAATACAACAGGTGGGAAATAAAATAATCATCCAACATATCATAATAGATCGAAACAAAACAACTGAACTGGATTTGTTACAGGTTAATCCATGGTCACCTTACATACGAGATTGAAGGTCATTTGAAGTTCATGCATATTTCTTCAAATCAATTTTGTCTGCGCTTATGTATTCAAACTCGACCTTCAAGGTCATGCATAACAGTAATTATTATAAAAGCCAGAAGCCAAGTGACTTTTTTCTGTAATTACTGCAAACAAACAGTGCGAAATAACATCCAAGGACTGTACATGTAGCAAGGAGTATTACCTTTCTTACTAACAGGGCTACAAAGTCGGAGCTTCTGCTCTAGATCCTCAGTAACAAAATGAGTCATGTTCCCTTCCTTATGCACGGATCCCTCTAAGGTCAGAGGTGTAAGAGACACTGCTTCTGGCTTATTGCTGTCACAAGGTAAGGTCATTGGTCTGGTTAGAATCTCTTCAGTCACTTCATCAAGGATCTGGGATGGAATGTCAGTATCAGGACTAAAACCTGATTGGAATGATATTTCACTGTAAGACTGAGTCATTTGCTGGGACATATCATCCTCGTCAATTTCCGGTGCTGTTTCTGTACTGAGAGAATTTTCTGAAGGTCTTGTTGGGCGCTAAAATTGTATGAAAAAGAGGAAAAGAATGAAGAAAGGAAGGAAAGAAGAGAAATAGCAAAAAGGGTCAGTTGTACTCCTCCAACTGGGCACTGTCAGCTAGAAAATTGATTTTGAGGAATGTTTTTTTAGAAATATTTAATTTTCCGTATGATTCTACTTTGTTCACAGTGTTTTTATGTGCCTGAAATTTCCTACAATTGAACAACATAACCTCCCACTCTGCGCAGACGCTGACACGGAACAGTAGAAATCTAGAAATACCCCAGCCTTTCTGAACGAGAGAAAAGACTATGAAAATCAAGGAGGCCATAAAGGCGTCCTACAATTGATTTTCGTAGTTTTGTACTGTTCCGTGTTAGGCTCGATTTTGAGGTTATGTTACAAACGTCTATTTGCTTCAAATTGTTTATGCTTTTGATTTATATTATCTGTTATGTGAGCCTGAAATTTTCTATAATTCAAAAAGAAAACATAACCGCACAATAGGAGAGTGCTGACACGAAACTATATAAATCTAGAAATAGCCCTGCCTTTCTGAAGGAGAGAAAATACTATGAAAATCAAGGAGGCTAGAAAGGCGTCCTACAATTGTAGGAACAATAAATGATTATATCCAAGTCGTTCGTATGTCTCAAAAAGGAAGCTCAGGTTCCTCTACAAAGTCCAAAATGATGACATGTATCTTCAGTCTATGTACTAATAAATGTTTTCTTTCCCTTTCTATGATTGTGCTGAATGGCCACTTTCAGTTTCGGCTAAGCGACTGAGATTTGTATGTGAATTATTTTTTGCTTAGATTTTTGGCTTGAAGGTGATTTTCAAAAGACAATTGTCAGGCTAGATTAAAAGTTCAGCTACCAATGCCCAACAAGATAAAAAAGAAGTATATAATTTTACAAAACAAATAATGAATTCTTGGTCGAAATACTAGATAGACCTTGACCTGATGTTCTATAAAATAATTCCTGCTCAGATGAGATCACAACTAATATGCAGAATGTAACTAGTGATATTATAAAAGCTAAGGTAATGCTGATGGCAATAATATTCAGGTAGCAACATACACTGCTGGATTGGCAGAACCACATCAATGTTGCCATTTAAACTGTAACGGAAAAGTGCTATCTAAGTTTATTTCTGTCTGTCAAGGGCACTTACATTGTGGCTTGCAGTGTGAAACAACATGATTCCTTATTATTATAGGTAGGTGGAGACTGCAAGTAGCAAATCAAAAATCACAATATTATCATGGACTTGGCATATAGAATGCATTCCGAGTCTGAGGTACATATATAGAAATGCTTTAATTTACTTACTAAAGGCAGTGGTGGTGGTAGCCTTGGTGCAGGTTCACTAGGTGGAGGTGGTGAAGGTGATGAACGATCATCCTGATCCATTGCTATTATCAACAAAACTTCCAAAAGAGGGTATTCAAAACTTGATCATGCTATGCTGTCTATACAATTGATTTACTTTTGCTGTACCTATTTTTCCTTAGTTCACCTACATTTTCTTTTTAGTAATGGCTTATTGTCATCATTATTCTTTAGGCATTATAGACAGTTTGCATATTAAAACGCATCACTGATAAAAGATAAAATGTAAATAATAAACATAACCTTATTAAGGTTCCCTTGTCACTTTGACACAGAACACGTAGATACATCAAACACCATGAAGGCGGGGCTTGGCCAGCACAAGGTCACAGTAGTTTTTTTCGAATGCCCAATTACGGGGGGTTGTTCAGAATTTGAATAGCTAATCTTGAGGGAATATTAACACAGGGTGTTCGAAAGGTCGATACCAATCATTTATTTTATTTTATTTTTATTTTATTTGGAATACATTGAGCCCCACATAGCAGGAGATAATTGCAGCAGAAGGCAAACTATTTAACAATAATGTGAAACTTGAAGCTTTAATAATAATCTGGCTTAAAATAACATGTAAAATTTGGCAAAGGTACAAAACCAGAATATAAAACAATAAAAGGTACTTCCCTTCCTTTCTACCATTTCAGAACCAATTCCAGCCCAAGCTTTGCAAGTTCACGTTATTATTCTGTTGTTTGGCAGTTTTCATTGGTCATTCCATTGTGCATTATTATCAAGGTTCTTGCAAACCAATGGCGCCAAAACTAATCTAATGAACTTTGAAGCTTCAAGTGTTTTGTTCGATACGCAGAACATGAAGAAATCATGCTGGCGCATCGGCCTTTCCAGTAAAATAAAATGACTCGGCGATAATTTGAGTATCATTGCAAACTTAAATAGTAAATATTAGAGAGTTTGTTAGGCAAACAATTTCATTGTAGCAATGAATATAATGTTAACATATGGTATTAAGATAATACGAATAGCGCATTGTTTGTAATTTTCAATTAATACAATTTATTTTTTCCCGTCTATTAGTATAAGCATTTGGTTGCAAACTTATATCGACAAAGTGAGCCATTATTGAGACCAAATGTGTGTGATTTTCGTTAATGATGTGTGATGTTTCATTGATGAGAACAAAAAAATCTTTTGCTAAAGGGTTGAACTACCCAAGCATATCTTTGTTGCAACGATTTTAGGGCGTAAAAAAAGATAACGGAATCAGTCCGCCCACGTCGAACAGTTCAGGTTAACATTCCAAATAATTTTTAAGCAAAAAGTGCGAAACCGTAGCAATCATACAATACAGGGTGACTTTGAAGTTGAGTCATTAATTTTCAGATAATGATTGTAGAAGGAAGATAAACCAAAATATGTGTGTAAAAATAAAAAAAAAATTAAAAAAAAATGTTTACCTTGTTTTATAAAGTATCCTCCCGACAAGTATTTCAGTGCGGACCTGTATTTGATCGTGAGGTCCCCTGTGAGGTCTTAAGTCACCTGATTCACGAGCCCGTTGTACTACATTAACAAAGGCATGAGGGGTTGGTTGCACTCGATTGGGAAACCGATCCGCATAAACATGTGCCATTTTTTATTTCGTTTGAGCCACGCAACAGACACTATTCACACGCGTTACCGACTGACACTGACTGTATGTATAACTGAACTGAATAAAATAATTGTAAAAACATCGTTCCAAATTCTTTCGCTTTTTTGTTTCCGATGCGATGAACCGATAAGGCGGATTATATCCGTTGTTGCCAAACACGAGCACATGATATTATTATTGAGACAGGGCGGTACTCAAACTTCCAAAGGGCTATAACTTTGTTACTTTAATTTTACCAGAAAAATGGTAAATGAAAAAAACATTTCTTTTGATCAGATCTACTCACTGTTAAAATAAATGACTCAACTTCGAAGTCACCCTGTATAAGCAAACTCCAAAAAGACATATGTTTTTTGAAAAGTGATTTGAGGTCGCGTGTCCCTTTTTTCAACTGCCTGTTTGCAATGCTATCATTTTTGTCAAAAATGCATTTTCTGTATACTTTATTGTGCGTTTTTAACATTTTTACCTTGTACATATGAACGTCATTATAGCTAGGTAGATGGAAACTGTGAAAATATCTTTTATGCCCAACAAACAAAAAAAAAACAATCACGCTCACACACAGGCTCACATGCGCGTGTATGGGAGGTGACTGGGAAAATATTCCGATAATACCACATCTGAATCCACCAATGGCATGTCATGTTCCACATATAAATTTTACTGATAACTACAGAATAAACTCAACCATTGGGTTACAAAACTTTGCGAATTACCCAGTCACTCTGTCACCATATCATTTTATGTTTTAACGACATTGTTTACTCAAAAAGAAATAGATAGTTAATTTTCATTTGTTCATTAATTAGAAAGTATCGAGCAGATTATGACAAAACCAACACTATAGATAAGTTAATTGCAACTTATAAATAATTGTATTCGCCAGTAACACTAGTATATTAGCTACTTATAGTTATACCTTTCCAGCAAACAATGAATAATGAAGTGAGCACTTTGCTGAACCAGTTTGCAAGTGAAACATTTAAAAAGTTCAAAATAATCGTTCAGAATATTGCGAAAAATGATGGATTTTTCGGCAGCCTCACATTCATCACGATTGAAGGTGTTAGTTGGATCGGCAATGAAAACAAAACACTCTGCGTTGCAGTAAAGATGCAGAAAGATGACTTAAAAGGTATGCTTAAAGATGTTTCGGAGGTAATATTTGAGGAAGAAATCTTTATCTACAACGAAGTATTTCCAGCTTTCGAAAACATACAGACAAATCTAGTACGTATATTCAGACCCTATCCTAGATGCTTGAAATGTTTTGCTAGACATAATACACTCATTTTTGAAGACTTAAAAGCTCAAGGATATAAAATGTACAATAAAGACGTTCCAATGGATTTTGAGCATTGTAAAAAGGTAATGGAAGTTTTTGGAAAATTCCATGCTCTTTCTTTTGGACTGAAAAACCACAACAATTCATTGTTCAACAAATTGGCAACGCATGTTCATAAGTTGAGTCTAATGCATGTTGAAAAGTCAATCTATAGGAAATTCGACGTTCATAGCCGTAGTATGGAAGAAGCTCTGGAACTTCTAAAAGAAAAAGGTGACAATTTGCTAAGTGAAGCAATGCAGGCCGTAGTAGCAAGCTGGGAACTCAAATTCAATGGTTACTTTGACGTTGATGAACAGCAATCTGTATTTGCACATGGAGATGGCTGGAACAACAACATGATGTTCTCCTACAACGTGAGTATAGAAATTAATTTCTATTTAGTAGTAAGTATATTGAGGCAGTAGGTACAACAGAAAATGAATGCATGAAATGTAGTTATTTTGTTTTGGATGTACCAGATACTTCACCCTCTCTCATCGCCCCGAAAACGTCACATGTCAACCGGTATATTGCGACATACTACACTGGGTTTTCGCATTTTCGGGAAGGAGGTAGTCACCTTTTTGGGTTGTTTGGTACGCACTTTGGGGAGCACAAAATCTAAATATAACATTCTACTCATAGTCAGACAGAAATCCGCCATGGTGTACCTATATAAAGAAAGATTATAGGTTTATTTTTATAAATTATTATTGCATAGAGCATCAGTTACATTATACTACAGATTGATATTATTTTTTCAGGAAGACAATGCCTTGGAATCGGCCAGACTAGTCGATTGGCAACTTGCTGACATAAGGACACCAGTATACGACATTTGCCTGTTCCTGTACTCATCGTGTGGCGATTTCGCAAACTTTGACAAACTGATAAGCATTTACCATGAATCTTTAGTCAAATTTTTGGTTTTACTGAATACTGATCCTGAAGTATTTACATTCCAGGATTTGAAAGACCATTTGAAGAAATACACTCCGTTCATCATAATGCATCTACCATTTTTGATGAAATTCGTTTTCAGTGACGGGAGGATAGAAGACTTTGATGAGAATAGCGAAGATACTATTCGTTTTCCTCCTTTAAAGAAGGATTTAATTTATAGTAGGATAAAATCAGCGTTTCAGCATTATTACGCCACGTATGTGAAATAGTTTCTTGTTGTAACAAAGGTACGTGTTTGTACATAAAATGTGAGATATACATGTACGTATTTATTAATAAAGACCTATGTAATAGGTAACTTCAGCAAGATGATGGCCTTCAGCAGTAATACACTGAAGATTTGATCTACTTTTCTACACATTTCTGGGGTTATGGTGGATCTTTCCTCAACGATTCGGGTCTTTAGCTCATCTAAAGTGTGAGGGCGATGTTTAAAATCTTTCTCCTTCAAATAACCCTACAGAAAAAAGTCGCAAATGATTAAATCTGGTAAGCGCGCTGGCCATCCCAAGTCACCTCTCAAAAACAAGAGTCGACTAGGAAACGTTTCTCTCAATTTCGCTATAAAAATCCGAGCAGTTTGTACTGTAGCCCCATATTGTTGGAACACCAGATCTCCTAAATTAGCTTTGTCATTCAATTGTTGCAATTGTGGCTCGAAAAAGTTTTGCAGCATTGAAACATAACGATCAGCTGTGACAGTTACTGTTCGACCATTCTCGACAAAAAAACAAGGTCCAATGATCCCAAATTGTGACATCGCACACCACACTGTCACTTTAGGTGAGTGAAGAGGTCTCTCATGAAGTTACCTTAGGTTACCGTCAACCCAATAGAGAAAATTCTGCTTATTGACAGCCCCAGAGAGGTGAAAGTGGGCCTCGTCGCTGCTGAAAAACGTTGACGTGTCGGGGATTCGTTCATGCATTTCTTGACAACGATTTATACGGTTGATGTAATCATCATTCATTAGTTTTTAAACACCCATGATGCTCACCTGTCCAAATCATGGCTATACTGTGTCATGGCGTCGACTTAAAACGGCGCTGGTATTATGTAAAAAACCTATAAAATAGCATCTTGCAGACTAGGTAGTTTTTAGGATGCAAACAGTCATTCCACGTTTACTCACTAGGATCGTTGCGAGCGTCCATCTATGGAGGAATGGCTCAACTACACGCATTGTTGGTTGCATATGTATTGTGAAGCCGATGAGTAAGTAGTTTGTAGTTTTTATCTCTGAGAAGAAAGTTATTTGAATCGCAAGATCGAATATAGATTAGGTGTATTGGTCTGCATGTGTATAAAATCAGTTATATTTGCTGTGTGAGAAAAAAAATTACTGAATATGCTGCCAATGAAGTAGATCTGTTAGCTGTGCAGGACGGGTTATTTACATGTTGTCCTTTCTGAAGACAGGTTATGTTCAAAGTTATAAATTACGTTTTTTGTGTTTTCAAAAAGAGATAATTACGGGAAATCACCACCGCACCCGCGTTGTGTGTAATTACTGTTAGCATGTATACTTTATCTGAAGTCACTTGAAACACTGTGAAATACCGGGTGCGTTTTATATATCTATATTTAACACGCTCTGTTGCTGCAAAAATCGCCAAATTTCGCAGCAAATATCCCCCGTATAAGATCAAAGGCAGTTTCACCGGTCCACGTGGAGTAAAGCACGCCTATGCGTGGACATAGCCAATGAGAAAGCGTGTATTTCAGAGCTCCGAACAAGTGCAGGTGGCTACTCAAAAATTGAAACAGTTTAGCCAGTGCCGTGTAGCGGTGAATAAACGTGTTTTCTTTAGTCTGTCCGTGTTTTTTCATAGATTTTATTAGTTTGTGTGTTTTTGACTTTTGATTACTCAGTTTACTTGTTGATTTAATTGTTGTGTTGATTGTTCTTGTGCGTCCTAAATATGGCTCTTTGGAGACCTTGGGAAAATGCTCCAAGCCACGAGGAGATGGTTGATGAACCTGTGCAGGCAGAATTCTTTCATAAAGATTTAGAGGAACAGACCCAAAGAGTAATCCTAAATATGTATGATTGTCTGAAAAACGAAAATCCAGATTCCTCGCAAAATCAAATTTTAAACAGAATTTGTATCCTGACAAAAATCAGTCGGTCTACCATTTATCGGGTTATAAAAAGGGGAGATGTAGTCAACCATTCCTTCCACAGAAAGCGCATAGGGCAAAAATAAAAAAGAATAGACGTGGGTTTTCAGGAAGATATTCGTCGTATAATATACGGATTTTATAAAGAAAATTTGGTGCCCACGTTGGAAATGATACGGGATAAATTAAAAGATTATCCTGAAGATTTTTATAATTACAAATGCTTAGACTCACTGCACTGTATTGTAAAACTGTGTGGTTTTCAATACAAAAAATTAGATAAAAGAATGGTGATTATGGAGTCGTCTCGAATCGTTGAATTGCGCCAAGAATTTTTGCACAAACTTAAAATCTATAGAGAGCAGAAAAGAAATCTGATTTACCTGGATGAAACGTGGTATGATACCCATGATGTTGTGCAGTACGGCTGGGTTGACGACAGCAACAAGTGCATTTTAAATGCACCATGCAACCGTGGAAAACGAATCATTATTCTCCATGCTGGCAGTGAAAATGGATTTATACCTAATGCCTTGCTGTTATCTGCCAAAAATTATCAAAGAATCATGTGCCGACTATCATGAGGACATGACCTCCGACTTATTTGAAAAGTGGATAGAGCAGCAGTTAATACCAAACATTTCCCCAAATTCAGTGATTATTATGGACAATGCGCCATACCATTCCCGACACAAAAACAAAATTCCGAATACAGGCACAAAAAAACAAGACATTATTGATTTTATGAAGGATAAGGGAATGGAAATACCACAAAAATCAACCAAAGCCATATTATTGGATCTTATTAAAAGACAAAAGTTTGAAAAAGAGTATGCTGTTGACAATCTGCTTCAGCAAAATGGCCATGAAGTATTACGTCAACCTCCCTATTACTGCATTTTTAACCCGATTGAGTTGGTCTGGGCTGCTTTAAAAAAAAATTAAGAAAACATAATCAGACCCCTCAATTAAGTGAATCGCTATTGGCCACAATAAGAGATGCAGTATCTCATATTGCTGCCACAGACCTATGGAAGCAGTGTTCTAGGCATATTATTGAAAAAGAAAATGAATATTGTGTTTTGCCTCCTGTAAATCCCGTTGTAATTCCTCTACAAGATGACTCTAGCGTCAGCTCCGAAGGCGAGGATGATATATAAATACCTATAATGTGAGTCTTTATATACCTTTTTATATACCTACCTGCTATATAAATATTTGCCTATGTCAAACGTTGGAATTCTGTAATTTTTCCATTTCTTAACTTTCAGTCAACATAAATTAAACTCCCAATATAAGTATTTTTTATCCCAAATAAAAAAAATAAGAAGATAGTAAAATCCATTTTTTGTGATATAAAAACATTATTATTATCGTTCTAAATAAATGACCGCACGCCTATGATACGTCATGAAATTACAAAGGACGCGCCGACCAAAGGTTTTTATGCTATTTCAAGTGACTTCAGATAAAGTATATGTATATGACTTGTAATTCGACAGTGTACAGTAAATATAATTACTTCTTATCTCTCTAATTTTTGAAATTCAGCAAATTTGTCATTTCCAGATTTTCTAGCTTTGACTCTCAGGTAAGTGTATTTGAAACAAGAATCCAATGGAATTATCATCAGCTTGATAACTGAAGCCTTATGACGTTTACATAATGTCACAAAAAACCAATACAATGTAAAAAAAATCGACATAATGTCACGTTTCAAGATACGTAATACCCGTGTGAGACGATGCACCCCACCACAGAACAAGCAATTAGTTTGACAAGCCCGTTCATTACTTATACCCCAGCCTGTATATAACTACGTTCATTTCTGACTTGGGATTCAACTTTAAATCAAAACCAAATATTACAATCAATGATGTCATCGTGTTATAACATTTAGAGAATTTACTTTTTGAGCAAAACAACAAACGTATCTGTACATAACTATACATATGAAATGTATGTACTTCAATATGATAAATATCGCTCTGCGTTGCAATTTATTTTTATCATATAATAATACTTAATTGTAATAAATTGCAGCTTATTTATATGCACTTGAGATTGCGCATGTAATCATCAGAGTCGGAGATTCGTCATGGGCGTCCGCAGGCGAGAACTCGATTGAACCTCTCAGACACAACTAGGCTTGATATAACAAAGCTAATGTGTGGTGAAAAAAAGTACTTACTGTTCAGTTGAATTGAAATTCCAAGTACGGCTTTGTCGTAAAATCTATATTTACATCGTAGTCGTACGGCGTTCTGATATCTGCAAGATTTGAATTCTGACGAGCTTCACCGTAAACTAACAACATGTCGGCGAACTCTTGATTCGAGAACGTTGTAAATAAACACGACGACGTACGCGAACAATAACTAACCACTCTTACCGTTTGCGATCGATTGCCGGTTCGATAAGTTTGATGGAAGACCGACGCGCTGTTGTCATGCGTGTTTTATATATTTAATTTAATGAAACTTACTTACTGACTACAAATTTTGGCTTAACTCGGAAAAACTTAACGCCATTTATTTGTTAATTACCCAATTTAAAAACGTTTTACATTAGATTATAAAAATTAGTAAGATTGTGGTGATTGTGGACGATATAAAGCAATTAAAGTTGTAAACTATAAAGCCATTTAGACAAAAATCTATTGACTTTTGGTCCATGGGTCATATGAACTTTTTGACTCGTTTGAATCCCCCTATTACACATTTCAATAATGACTAGCACAACGTTTACCCCTGTATATCAAACCTTAAACGAAATCACCTACAAGGTCTAATTATACAACAAGTTGAGAAATTAACTGTCACTACAAAAGAGTTCTACCACTCGTCAAGCCGGTTGTTATTAGTTATGAATAAATTAACTGCCCAAATTTCAGAGGGTGATTCCTGATTGGCTCCGTCATACTGTCGTCATTTTCAAGGCACTACAGACGTACGCCGACTAACAAAAATGACGTATAAATGACGTCATTATGACGGTCTAATCTCACACCCAATTGACGTCAGTATATGACGTCATAGTATGTCGTATAAAAGACCAAATACAAAGTCGATATGACGTTGATATGACGTCTATATGACGTTCAGTGGCTCGCAAAAATAATCGAGCGGTCTATCCAGATGCTCTTCAAACACTGAGGATGTAACAACGACGCCCCACAAGCAGTGAGTTCAGGGTAGGTAGAAAGGCACCGAAACTCATATTCCTACCAATCTTGAACTCTCCCGAGAGGTCGTTATCACTTCCGCAATTTTTCAGGAGCATTTGCGCAAAGTGTATCGAGATAGTTAAAGACACGTTTGATCTCAAATACGCTCCAGTCCTCATCCCTAGGTTGTTAGAGTCACGTACAGAAGTCTAGCCAGATGCTTCACTAATCTCTCTGTATGTATCGTTACGCCACTGAATAGTACATAGATTCGTTAATCGTGCCTGGGTAATGTCTATATACCTGAGCTATGATCATAGTTCATCTAAACATTATTATTGCAACTACTACTCTTGTTTGTGTTACAATGCTGGGTACACTTTAACTATCCGACAATAGATTGCTCATTATCGGTTATTGTACTAATGTGCTTTATACAATACAACTCACTAGTTAATTAGTCCGATTAGTTCTTAACAATGGACGAAGAAATCCAGAAATACGTAGCAGATGTAGCTAGTAACATTTTTACGAATTTCACAATCACCGTGGAAGATGTTGCAAGTAAAGATGGTTACTTAGGGGACTTATTATTTGTATCAATTCATGGAAAAACCAAAGACAAAATCGAAAAGAAAATCGACGTTGCTGTAAAGGTGGCCAAAGTGCTACCTTTCGATGTAGCAGTTGAATGTGAGAGTGTTTATAAACAAGAAAGATTTTTCTACGATGAGGTAAGTTATTTGATTTATTTGAAGGAGAACATTTTGTGAATTGATAATATTTTCGAATTCCCAAAGAATTCCATAACTATACCCCATGCGTAGACCATTTACGCCCAGACAAAAGAGAGCATGCCCAAAAGCGAGATTGGACATTTTCCTCAATGGTCTTGGAATAATCTAACAAAATAAATGATTATTTTTATAGAAAGAAGTGCACATACTTTTCACAATTCTTTATTCGCCGGAAGTACGTGCATGCATCATCGTCCGTATGGTTAATATTAATTATTACAGGTTCAATTTGAATATCGATCATATCTTTGTTTCGATTGTCTCTTGAACGTGATGCAACCTTTCCAATGGTTTGCCGTCATTCTGTTGACAGCTTCATAAAACAAACTGTTCACGTCAGAAAATTTGAATGTTCTATTGTTTGAAGCCACATAGTTTTTTATATTTTGTCCAAATCATTTCAATGGAATTTAATTCGCAGTGGTAAGGGGCGGGCTTAAAACGGTCTTATTTTGGTTTTGAGCCATTTCGTCAATAACATTAAGATTATATATTTATATTTGTGCTGCCTGACTAGATGGAGCCATTGTTGAATTTCTGCCTTTGGGGCCGTTCAAGTATTACGTAAGCAGATTTATTACAAATATTTACCCCCCATCCGCAAAGCTCTTACCCCCTCCCCCCATTCTTACGTAAACATTTGTCAATTAATGTATTGTTTTTTTAATATTATAATTATAACGTTATAATTATAATTTGAAAAATAAGAAAATAGATTTAGGATAGAGATGTTATTTTACTGATACATTATTCAACATAGAGTAAAGGACAAAAATATTATATCTTACTAACATAACAAACTTATTTTAAATTTTTGGTACACATATTAAATTCAAATTAAGTCTTCAATCCATGAAACCCGAATCCATGATTCTAAGTTTTCGATGACATTGGATTGCTTCGATTGCTGCTCAGTGATGTGAGTTTGCTCGCTTTCATCGGATTTTGGAATGTCTATCTCGTTCTCATCGAGCCATTAAACATCATGGTCAACTGTTTGTTTTTCTTTTACAGGTGGTGGAAGAAACATATTGTCTAGTAATCTAAATAGGCCACTTCTTGGACGACAGCATTCTGTATTTCTACATTTTACAATTTGAAGCAAGTATTGGCTCTCACGCACATGTTCTGAATGCCATTTAATGTCTGGAAAATCAGGAAGATCTTGTTCACCTGCCCCAACATATTTTGCATTAAGATTATAGCCATCAATTTCCATTGAACTCCATACTTCAGCTAATACATTTCCGGCGATTTCTAATATTTCTAGTACTCATAGGTACCTAAAATGATTTCGTCACTCACCTTAGAAAAAAAATTAAGTAGATTGGATTTGTTCTTAGTCGCCGCTTGCAATTCTTCTTCGATTCTCTTAGATACAATAATATCTAGTTCCTTGACGGATTTTGCTTGTAATTTGTAATTTCGCCACACTTCGTTAACTAAATTTTGTACATTTTGTACTTTCGTACTTGTATGAGATTTTTTTAAAACTTTCAAAAAATTTTTGGTATAACTTGGATTTGTCTATGTGAAACGACATCTTATTTAAACATTACACTTTGGCTAATAGAATCAATGGTAACACAAATGTTAACTTGCTTTACTATGCTTACAACACGTCTACTCGCTATAGTATCCAAACGAAACAATACACTGAGGAAATTTAGACAAGTGAACACCGCGCGGTAATTCCCCTACTCGGTTTTAAAGCGAGTAGGGGAATTACGGCGCGCTGTTCACTAAACGTATGCATTATTTGCGGGAATCCCCGAAAATGCGTTTCGTTTTCAAACAAAGACAATGTGAGGGTTGCCATTCGAGTAAAAAAGTAAATAACTACCGATATGACGTAATCATCATCTAGACTCCCCTAGCCCCCATGTCATCCAAAATAAGCAAAGCCCACCCCCATAGTGCTCACGTAATATTTGAACGGCCCCTTTCTTGTGGACATTGTGGGAATTTTTTCTAGCTTTCTAGTGTGTTATGCAGCATTATCAAGTACAATGACGGTATTGTTGTCAAGCTTTGGGAGCGTTTCTTCAAACCATCGCACAAATGAAATCCCGTCCATTTCTTCATGGTAGTCGGTCGTTTTCTTTGACTCAAGTGCCCATAGGGCAGTGGGCACAAAGTCATCTCCACTGCCAATGTGACAGATAGCAAATCGTTTTCCTTTCCCTGGAAATAATTGTTTCATATAGTTTTCAAGAAAACTAATAATAATACAAGTAGAGTATCTAACAGGTGTTGGTTCCAAATCTACCTGATGTAGCTAAGCTTTCAGCGGGGCCTCATAGATTCAGTTTACTTGACACCTTTTTTATATCACAAGTGATGAATTGGTTGATACACGTACCTGACGGATTCTTTAGGCCAGTGGTTAATCCATCTAAGTGTAAAAATTTGTCAGATATCTCAAATGTTTTAAAAAAGTAAAATCCTAGTAGTTTTCCATTTCGATCTGAATTGTCAAATCGTCATGGAAAACTCTATATAAATAGAAACAAAATTGCACTAAAATAGTATTTCTGTTAAAAAAGACTAATGGAATACCAACTTACCAGATCAATTAACGGTTGAATATTTTTCCAACAGGTATTTCCTGTCTTTGAGAGCATACAGAAGAACATCAAAAACAAATTCAAGCCCTACCCGCATTGCTTTAAATGCTTTACAGAACGCAACATTATCGTATTAGAAAACCTAAAAGCTAAAGGATACGAAATGATCGACAAAGACACCCCTATGGATTTCGACCATTGCAGAGCAGTCATTGAGGTTTTCGGAAAATTCCATGCCATGTCTTTTGCGCTAAAAAGTCGCGATGGACAAAAATACGATAAACTAGCAGAGTACAGCAGGGATCTAGGCATGAAGCATAATAAATTATCGTACGTAGCCATGTACAATGCATCTATGCAAGAAGCACTGCATTTGTTGAAGAAAAAAGGTGATATTAGTCTCAGTGAGGAAATAGGAAACGTTGTGTTAATGTGGGGTAATAAGTACTGTGGATACCAGGTGGACGATGAACCTCAGGCAGTGCTTACACATGGTGATGGTTGGAACAATAACATAATGTTCCGATACGATGTAAGTCTAGTAAATTAGCAAGGTTAATTACTATAAAAGAATGAAGTATTTGTTTTGAAAACGGCATTATGGAAATTATTCATTTATCCGAAAAGAAATAAACTGGTGGACAGTTGACCAACTCTTTGAAAACACGTACCGGGTTCCATCGGTATATTTCTTTTAATTATCCACTTACACAAACTGATTAAAGAAAGTCTGTTTTTTTAGCGAAGTTTGGGCTATGTCAGATTCACAATTTTTGACCTTGGAAATGTTTTTATGCATGTTTTTGATCTTTTGACTATCCTAAAAAAATGTTTTTTACAAATTATTGCTAATTTTTCTCTTCTACCTAAAATCAGGGATGTATTTCCTTAGATGGCCATGAATGTTTTGATAGAACGAAAATCATAAGACAATCGAATATGGCGTCCTTAAGAAAAAATAAGTCACATTGAAATCTTAATTATGTCATCTTGTAGAGGAGAAAAAGTGGTGATTTAGATCTATCAAACTGATGAAGCGAATGCAAAGTATGTAAAAAGTTATATGTTTTTGAATTCCAGGAAGGAAATATCTCTGTGAAGCTGGTCGACTGGCAGCTCGCTGACGTGAGAACTCCAATATACGACATCTGCTTGTTTCTCTATGCTAGTTGCAATGATTTCAAAAATTTTGACAAACTGATAAGAATCTACCATAATTCCTTGACTTCCTTTTTGGAGGAATTGAACGTTGACCCAGAAGTGTTTACCTTTGAAGATTTACAGCGACATTTAGCAGAGTATACTCCCTATCTCATAATGCATCTGCCCTTATTGCTAAAATTTGTTTTTGGTGATGGTGCGTTTGATATGAATGAGAAAAATAACGAAATTATTATTGGAATACCACAACTCAAGGAAGACTTATTTTATTATCGGCTAAAATCGGCTTTCAAATATTTCTACACAACTTACGTCAAACAGTAATGTATTTTAAATAAAACCCAGTATTACAGCAACTATTTCGTTTTATTCAGTATTCCTGCATTATTTTCAGAGACAGCAAAACGATTATTTCTAAAATTAGAAGGGCAGCTGATATTGAATGTAAGAAACAAAATATAAATTCGTAGGCAACACCATTTGCAAGGTGGGATATTCATATTATTATGGCTTGTGCAAACCTCGTTACTAATTCTTCAAATCTCGATAAGAGAAATGGAATGCATTATTCCGATTCAAATTATTGTTCTGAAGTATATAAATATTTTCGGTATAACTGCGCATTGTTAGATTTTTTATTACAACTGCGTAACGTAATAAAGATATTTGTATAACTACAACAGTGTCATAATATAATGAACAAAATAAAAACTTTATCTCAGATATGAACGAGTTGGGAATTACATCCAACATTCAAATTAGTGAGCATATATTTTTGTGCAGTTTCGCGTTTCAAAACCCAGATAGAATCATAGCATATCCTGTCCAATATCGTGGAGGATAAAGCTCTATCTCATGCTAGATCTGATCCTGGTCACGTACCATTGAGAACAAATTGTTCGTCCCCCGTAAGTTCACAATGCACTTTATTATCGTTCTTCTCTCTCTTTCACAGCTTTTGTGCCATTGATTTGACAAGAAATGTCAATGTTCCTTGCTCCATGTCATTTTACACCCAAATAAATCTTCCTGCCATTTTTGTTTATTTAATTTTTTGTGAGTATAGCCAACATGTTAATTCAATACCAAAAATCATTACATCGACTCTGATTTGAATTGGATTCAATGCTATTGTTGATATTAAATAATTGTGACTTCCCCTGAAAACGAATTTTCGTATATTCTAAATATAGATTATCGATTTTCGCTATGGCAAAAGAAACGAATGCTAATCAAAGGAACCCCTCAGGCATTGAAGACAAGAGATTGTGGATTGGAAATTTGGATTCGAGAGTTACTGAGTAAGTTTATATCGCATATTTGAAGTTGCTCTTTTGAGTATTCACAACTCATATATTGTTTTTTCTTACCGGTATCAACTACTGAAACTTGTACAAAAACACGGTGCTATCGAGAAGTTTGACCTGATTTTCCATCGAACTGGACCTCTGCTAGGTCAGCCAAGAGGTTATGCTTTTGTTACATACCAAAATAGTGAAGATGCTATCACAGCAAGAGAAGCCCTAAATAACCTCCTTGTGGGACAAAAACACATCCTAGTTGCCTGGGCACATAGTGTAAATACTGTGAGTATTCATGATAATTACCTGGTTTTAGTGGAATACACTTCATGCTGCTTTTGCAGTGCGTTTTATGTAAAGCAACTGCACAAAGTGTAAACAGAAAATTTGTATTCATTTTACATAGTCTCAGATATGAGGGATGTCTTAAGTTTTGCATATGGAAATAAAACAACACAGTGGGTAGTTTTAAATAACTTTATTGCTTTTCGAAGTATTCTCCACGAAGATTAATACATATCTGCATGTGCTCGAACCACTTTTCAAAGCACTTATTGCACTCGTTTGCTGGCAGATCCAAAACATCATTTTTTAATGTGTCAACTGCTTCTTCTGGTGACTGGAACCTTTGACCACGCAGTCTGTTTTTAATTTTCGGGAAAGTAAAGAAATCGTTAGGACTTAGATTGGGACTATATGGAGGATGATCCAATAATTCCACATTTTCTTATGTTAAATACTGCCTTGTTTTTTTGCATTGTCTTGGTAGAGGATGATTCTTCTTTCGTGGTTGATTTTTCGAAGCTGGGTGATGACTTTTGGCAAACAAATGGTGGTATACCAATCCGCAGTAACAGTTCTTTGCTCATTAAGAGGAATTGTTGCAATATGACCTGCTTTTGACACACATGTCGCGACCATCTTTATCATGTGACTATCTGTTTCAGGAGGAAATTGACAAAGCAAAACCTGAGATCTCCATACCTGCATTAGCAATGGCAAAGCAAACTAAAAAGTTGGACAAAATGGCTCAGATTCAAGCAATAGAGGCAAAGTTGAAGCTTATGGAGAAAAACCAAGGAGAGGAATTGAAGATAAATGATACAGTTGCCACAAAACCTCCAGTGATAGTACAATACCAATATAATAAGAACCAAAATGTGAACAACAGTTCAATGAAAACCAGACATACCTTGAGAAGGAGTGATAGACATAAGCCTTATGTAAAAAATAAAAATAGAAGATGAAGAAATGTGTAGGTTAGGATTTAACAAAATGTGTATCTTTTTCTTTTTGCTGTGGGCATATTCTTTGTAATAAACTATTTTTTTATTTGATAACCTAAGGTATAAAATATTAAACTTTTGAAACAATGCATATGCAGCATTTGTAGTTGAAAATTGCATAACAGTTAAAAGGTATGTTGAAATGAAAAATTAAAACATTGTGGTCTAATTTTTCCAGGTAATGGAATTAAGACAGCGCAAATTCCATAGAATATGCCTGTAGTAATAATAATTTATCTATAAGGCCTGAAATCTAAAGACTATTAATTCTCATTAATTTGTTGATCTATGAGCCCCTTCCCATTTCAGTTGGCCCACTTTAAGATTTGTACCCAAATATGCCTTTATAAACTAAACATGACAATACTATTTACTTCTAAAACAATTTATTTTCTCAAAAACATTTTACATACACTCTAGTCGTAAAAAATACATATTTGAAATCACTTAGGCCTATAACTAATAGAACGTCTGAACTAATAAACAATGCGCGAAGTTAACAAAGCAACAATTGAAAGATTAGCATTGGGGTAACATCACCTTTATTTTTATTACGGCTGAAATTCTTTGGGACATAGTGTTAACCACGTTTTGGCAAAAATTTGGTGTAAAACAATCCCATATTTCTTGAAGCTTTTGTCTCAGTTCGGTGATTGTACGAGCAGGATGTTGTCGTAGAACCTTTTTCATCTTGTGCCTCAAAGTTTCAATAGGTGACAGATCTGGACTGCTAGAAACCCATTTCAAAAGTGGTACATTATTTTCTTCCAACCATTTTATAGCCTTTTTTGAGGTATGGCAGACTTATTTTGCATTGAAATGAAAATAGATTGATATGCTGTAACTGCAACATGCTACAAATTTGATTAGAGAGTGATAAAGTTGGTGTGTTCTACTATATATTATCAAAATATTCATTGTTAATATTTTAAACCTGTAACACCCTGCTACATTTTTATTACATATTTGTGTTTGATAAGAAAAAAACTAAGATTTCAATAGTTGGGCCAACTGAAGTGGGAAGGGGCTCATATTCTAATGTATCATAAAGGACAAAGTTGATGAGCTGTTTTAAACTCAATCTGCTAGAAGTATTATTTATGTTCTATATGATATTATGCTATGTTTAAAGTAATTTTTACTGTTGAGCATGCTATCAAAAAACCTGCTCAGTTTGACTAAAAAATATCTAAATTGTATCTCCTCAGGTATAAGAAAGTATGATGTTACCACTATATTTAGAATCACAGATTTGTATTGAAATTCATCAATAACAATAAATATATACTGGTTTTCCTCCATCCAATATGTTTTTAACTAACTACAGATCCAGTTATGTTTCCACTGCTATGAGAATTCATGAAACTTTCAGGTGGTATGAAATCATTGAAAGAAAATAAAAGCTCTAGATTTCAAAATCAATCTTTAGTGAATAGACCATTTGAGTGCACTTAGAATTTTGATTTGTATGCCTTTTGTAAATGATTATATCAATTCACAAATTACTAGGTGAATTACTTGGCTGATTGGATCAAAGTTCATGTTAAATATAAACGAAAGTTGGTTTTTGTTTTCAATATAAGTAAATACATTGTCAGGATTTTTAACAACAATTTATTCTTTCATAGATTTATATACACCATATAACAAAGTGATATGACAAATATGTAATAAGGCACTTGAGAAATTTGTACTTGGATAGACATTCCAGCAATATTCAATCAGACCTAACAATAAGAATGAAAATGATCTATTGAATCTTGTACAAAACACAAGATATACAAGGCTATGGAAATACCAAGAATAAAACTGATAATGCAGAGATCTTGCACAGGTTACTCCTATCAGGTTTGTCACAAAAAATGGCAGAATGAAGAGTTGAGTAATCTTTGATAACTTATCTTCCAGTTTTTCAGCATCATCTAATGGATCTTTTTCTTCACCATATTGACTATTTTTCAAAGAATTTTCAAAACTATCTAAAAATTGCTTTTGAGATTTGCTGAGTTTTCTTGTTTGTGTTAACCTTTTCCTTCTTTCTTCTTTTACTGATTTTAAGAACTCTTTAGTCGCTACATTCAGTTTTGCATAACTACTCAAGTAACATTTAAAATGTGGGGCAAATAATATCAATAAGGAAATGTGAAGAGCCAATAAGAACAAATGAAATCCTTGATATTCAAATATGCCTCTAGGTAAAAATCTATAATTTACAGTCCATTTATGTTCAAAAACGCGTCCTAGATCAAAGCTGCCTTGGATGTATGCAAGTGGGTTAACATATAAGAATGGTGATCCTAAAAGTAACTGTACTAAAGCACATATAAACAAATTAAGTACTGTTTGCAAGATGGATAAATTTGTTAAGTATGCTATCAAGAGACAAGGTGCATATAACAATATATTCATTTTTACAGCAACAGCCAATGAGTAAAATATACTCCCAAGCTTCCATTTATCGGAGATAAATAAGTTTAAACTAACATAAAATAACAAAACTGCAATAGGGTCATTGAACAACCTTAGTACAGATATTGAGTGGATTCTGTAAGAGGTCAATGTAACTAATACCAGTGCATATGGTGGCAATTTCATTGATTTTCTGAATATTCTATGAACCAGATAAGTTTGTAAAAGATATAATACTAGGAATATGTACTGAGCTAAGTAAACATTTTTTCCATGTGAAGTGACATAATACAGAATGCTATAAATATACACAAATCCTGCTGGATATACCAGTGGCCCAGTGTCACCTAAAAATAAGCAAATAAATAACCCTATGATAAATCAAAGTTCAACAAACCTTTTAGCATGTGGTAATCCAAAGTACCATTAAGAAAGCCTTCTACCTCTTGCATATATGCATTCCAATCAATTTCTGTATATTTTACCTTTTCTATGATCAAGACATTCAAAATAGCTTCAAACACAAGAATCACATAACATACTGGAGTTAAATAGTGAGGATTAAAAATGAGCTTTTTTACATAATCCACAGATAGAGAGTCTTTTAGTTTTTCCAGAATTCCTTTTTTTTCATTCAGTCTTGCATGAGGCGGTTTATTTTTAGTTGGAGCCATTTGGACAACTTTTGAACATTACGGCAAGATAAAATAAAAATGAGGTTATTCAAATATTCAGTACACCAACAAGTCAAATTAGCATTGATAAATTCCCTGTTAATCCGTCAAATTACACACTGACCAATTGACAAGGAGGCAGCCGGTCACGTAGGATATATTCACCAATTAAAAACATTTGATTCTGGACCGTAGTACTCTGTAATCAAATCCAAGCGAATAACCAAAATTTCTGTGTTATGTGCTGCGGTTATAAGATGGTTCAAGGTGACACACGGGTTGATGACGTCAGTTACACGAATCGCTTGAACGCGTTGGTTTTAACCGCGGTTTTGTTGCAAGTTGTTTATTTTAGAAAAGCGCGTATATAATCTCTGATTATTTTTATTATCACTTAATAATCGGTGCTTTTTCGTCTAGAACTGTATATGGAAAGTTTAAATAAGAAACCTTTCATAATATTCATGGGCGAAATGTTTTTTACAGATTTTTTTTTAATGATGGAGCCATGGCTTTGTAGCTATGATAACTTTCAATTCTCTAAAATTTTTCGCATGTCAAATAAAACATTTATTGATTCAGCAGAAATGATGAAAAAAGAAATTAGAAAAACCGTATACAGGTGGATATCATCTAGTGAGTTTATATGGCCATATTTTAATATTCTTCTTGTATATGGCTACACAGGATACTTTGTTAAGGATAGGAACTAGATTTAAAGTGTCCCCAACAACCGTAATGAGTATAACTAACAAGGTGCTCCACTTTATGGTAAAACTGAAGTCAGCCTGTATCATTTTTCGCAAAAATGAAGCTGAAGTACAATAATAATATCCAATACCCGGAAAAATTCTAACTTGTCACATTTCAAATAATAACCAGAAATATAAAACTACTCTTGAGTTGGGTAAATACCACAATTTTGCGGTGATAACTATGACATATAACAGCTGATTCGTGACGTCACGGATCTTATAACCAAACTGATAACTACACTCGCTTGAACGGATTGGTAAATACCAACCCAAAATGGTAAATACCATTTCCATTTGGTTATCCGCTTGGATTTGATTTGTGTCTAGACATCTTCCAATCTGTGTGGGTACTGGGTATGTGTCACTGTCAGAAGTGTCAGATTCAATTGTCAATTTCGGTTCGGCTGACAGGGGATACAAAAAAGGTGAATAGGCAAAATAAAACAGAAAATAGTAAAAAATGGCTGCGACTACGATGCAACAAGCTAATGTTAGTGAATATTTAACAAAACAGCAAGAAGTTAGTCCGAAAGAGCTAAGTTCAGAGTGGGCGGAACTTGAGGAACTGTATAACAAAAGGTAATGAGCTTGTTCAATTCATCTCCTGGAACTTTTCATTTTGGGTTTTTTTTCCAGATTATGGCATCAACTAACGCTGAAGATCCTTAAATTCATCAAAAAACCAGAGCTGCAAAAGGGCGACAACCTTATACAGCTTTATTCAAACTTTATACAAACTTTTGAAAATAAGTAAGTCATCCTTTTTACTCTAACCTCAAAATGCTCAAGTCTCTGTTGATTTCAGAATAAATCCTTTATCGTTGGTTGAAATAGCCGCGCTAGTAGTTGAGCAATACAAGGAACCCAAAGAAGCTATAGCATTTCTAGAGAAAACTGAACCAAAAGTAAAAATCAACCCAGATGCACAAAACCTATGTAAAGTCCTAGCTGGTCAGATATATTTAGAAAAACTCAACGACTTGGATGCTACAAAAAAGATCATAGAGGAAGTAGAAGCTACTCTTGAAGGTGCTGATGGTGTTACTGCAGTACATGGAAGATTTTATCTTTTAGCATCTCAATATTACAGGTATATAATACTAGTAGCAAAAAAATGCAGATTTTTTCTTTGAAGCAAAATTTGTAATAGCATAAACATTATCCATATTTCATCTTCACAATTATTGTAATCACATGTTTGGGAATAATATTACTTGGAATTTGAAATATCACTAACCCTTTTCAAAGTTTAAAACCAAATAAAAAATCAAGAGACATTTTTTATTTTCCAATTATTGATACAGGTAAACATGCATTTCAACCATTAATTGTTGTCAGGTCACTTTTTTGATAACTTATTTTAGTATTACCAGTTGTCTACTTTAATTGCAGTTTTGAGGCAAATACCTATAGTCTTGACTTTCCTCTACATGATGCTCCAAAATGCTCTGAAATTGAACAAAGATAACCTGTCCTAGTGACAAGGAGTCCCAAAAGTATTAGAGATCTTCATGAGAATTTTTCTCTACAATTCTACTTGCTGCGGAATACTGTTTTTGTCATTTTGATACTAAGGTGTTATGTTTCCTCTAAATGATCATATGGCCTTGCAGTACCCTTTTCCTCATACCCTTGTATTTCAAAGGTTGAACTGTAGAGCAGCATATTAATGTGTACAGCCATTCTGAGAGACAGGCCTGTTTTAAGCTGGAATTGCCAGATTGTGAAAACCCACTGATTTGGTGATAGACTACATTAAGCAACAGGCGCAGTGGCGCTATAGCCTAGTGGAATCGCACAGCAACCCACTGTTATGTGAGTCAGTGGACTACACAGTCGAGCAAGGACAAAAGGCCGCGGCTCGCAAAGTAATCAAAATTAATTTGTGAACTTAGAACAACCGAAATTGGATCATTTTGACAAAATCTTCAGAAAAAATCGAATATTTTTAGACCATTTCAAAATCAGTGAAGTGATTTTAACAATGCCTAAATGCTGCCTATCCTAAAAGATTCTCTTCTTCCCCTATGCTCTCGTTCTTCCTTCTCTCCTTTCCTTCCCTTTTTTCCTTAAAATTGTCTGGTTTCTGGGTTACCAGACCTGACAGACTTACAAACTGACACTGTGACTCAAGAGCTAAGGTCCCACAGACCGCTCTGACAACCAACGATGACTTGACTCATGTGACAGATCTTTATCGATATGGTCATTGTAGAATCCAAGGAGACCATGCCCAGTACTACAGAACAGCATTGAGATACCTAGGATGTATAGAGTTGGACACACTGACTGAGGAGATGAAAATTCAGCATGCATTCTTCTTGGGACTGGCAGCCCTTCTGGGGGAAGGTGTTTACAATTTAGGAGAGCTTCTTGCACATCTTGTACTACAGTCCCTCAAGAAAACTGAAAATGCTTGGCTTATTGAGTTATTATATGCATTCAACTCTGGGGATATTGGTAAATTTGAAGATATGAAACCACAGTGGAGTATTATTGCTGATCTGGCTGCACAGGAATTGTTTTTGAGGCAGAAAATTTCTTTGTTGTGCCTGATGGAGGTATGTGTCAATTTGTCCAGGTCTAAATGTGTCTATTTATTGACTGTTTTAGATGACATTTAGAAGACCATCCCACAATAGACAATTAACCTTTGCTGAAATTGCAAAAGAAACAAAATTACCTTTGAATGAGATTGAGCTGTTAGTAATGAAAGCTTTATCTCAAGGGCTTGTCAAAGGAGCCATAGATCAAGTGAGTATGATACCATCAAAAACTGAATAAAACTTTGACATTCATCTGTATCAAGCAAATTTCTTGAGCTCCAGTAAATTTATTAATAATCAATTTGTTAATTATTACATATGCTGTGCCATTCTTGTATAAAGTTTTTCTAAAGCAACAAAGTAACACTTTGCACTCTTAATACATAAATAGTTATTATTTTTCTCATAACTATGACATTGACTATTGCATTGAAATATACTTAATGACCTTTACAAGTTTTAAGTCTACTGACAGTTTGAAGATATTGTGCTGTGAACTTAAAAACTTCCTAATTTGTAAACCATGGTGTCACCCAGGGGTCTGTTTTGGGGCCACTATTATATTCTCTATATGCTCTGAATCTAAGGAGTGCTAATTTTAATGCAAAGTATTTTACTTTTGCTGAAGACATAGTATTCTCTATAGAGGAAATCATGAGCAGGCTCTGAGTGACAAAGTTAAATTAGATCTTGCTTTTCCCTGTAATCGAATAAACTGAAGATCAACATCGATAAAGCAAAATATCTAATTTTTAAACAGAATAATAAAATAATTGAAAATTTTTGTATAAGAATAAATAATGTTGAAGTATCAAGCATCAAATATACTAAGTGACATATAAATCCGAACACCCAGTTTAAATGGTTTTATTTTAATAAAATTTTGTATAAGTACTTAATGAAGCATAATAAGTAAATGATAAAAATTTCAAAATGATTGCACTGCTTTAAAGCCCTTTGACCTTTAATAATGTGTGGATGCACCCTGATGTGCTACGCATTCTCCAACGCGCCCAGGCGTGCTTCTGATCAGGTGGTCAATGTCCTCCTGTGGTATCTCATTCCAGGCAACCACCAACTCCTCTCGAAGTGCTTCTAGAGTCTGAGGAGGACGTTGCAAATTGAGCAATCTCCTACCCATCATATCCCACACGTGCTCAATTGGGGATAAGTCGGGAGATCTTGGTGGCCATGGTAACAATGTGACATCATTATGTTGAAAGAAGTCTATTGTGACTCTTGCAACATGTGGTCGGGCATTATCTTGTTGGAAAGTTGGATCTGCCAGGGTGTCAAGATAGGGTAAAAGATGGGGTTCTAGAACTTCGTGGATATAACGCTGCGCGTTCATGTTACCTCTGATGAAGATTAAAGGTGACCTGGAACGATAAGCTATAGCACCCCAAACCATAACTCCAACAGTGTGATGAACATGTCTTTCAACAAAAAACTGTGGATTCCTCCTTTCACCACGTCGCCTTCTAACCCTGGCACGACCATCGTGCATGCCTAAACAAAATCGAGACTCGTCACTAAAGACAATACTGTTCCATTCCTGATCCCAGAGTGACCGTTGTCTGCACCACTCAAGGCGATTACGTCGGTGTTCTCGAGTTAAAGGGAGGACCCAGTGTGGCCGGTATGAAAACAAGCCAAAACTTCTCTTTCGTCGGTAAACACTTCGCATGCCAATAGGTCTTCCGTGTTCTGCAAACCATTCATTTGCAATGGACCTGGTAGTGGAGAAACGGTCCCTTAAGGCCGTGCCATCTTAGGCGGCGATCTTCACGGTCTGTTGTTCTACGGCGGCGTCCAGTGCCCCTTGCTCTTTGCGTACGGCCTTCTCGAAGCCATGCCTGACAACACCTAACCACAGTGTCTATACTTCTTTGCACTCTAACTGCAATTGCCCGAAAAGAAAGTCCAGCTTCCCGTAGTCCCACTATACGGCCCCTATCAAACTCACTAAGTTGACGAAATCGTACAGGTCTCCGTACTCTAGGCATCGTAACCGATCGTAAAGGATGTCAAGAACCAAAATCCGCCAACGTTGATTCTTTACTGCGGCTGAAATATTCATTTTTAGACCGTTAGTGAATTAAAAAAAAGCAGTATAAAAACCGGAATGTCCAACTGATCAGGCTGAAAATTTTTTTGCTTGTTATTTACAGTAAGATAAATACATTCACCAACTTTTATTAAAATAAAACCATTTAAACTGGGTGTTCGGATTTATATGTCCCTTAGTATACTTGGTTTTAATTGATGAGAATTTGGTCTAGTCATATTAAATTTTTTTTATAAATATTGTCCTCAAGAACAGTATTCTAAACACAGATGAGAAAACTTTGTTTTTTATAAAATTTGTAAGATTTTACTATTTTATGAAGATGTTTCAAAAAAAGTTATACCATCTGTGTTCTACGATTCATTTATTTGACAAGACTGATGATTTTTTTCAGGTTGGAGGCACTGTAAACATGACGTGGGTGCAACCTCGCGTTCTGGACCGCTCTCAGATATCCAGTATGGTTGACAGGTTGAATGAATGGTGCAAACACGTTAGTGTAATGGAAGGTATGCTTGAGGAGAAAGCCAGCGAAATATTAACTTTGTAGTAGATGCTAATTTCCTGAATTATTTTACAACTTGCATACTGTTAATTATAATTCTCGGCTTTGATTATTAAATTGGCCATTTTTGAGTATCATACCTTTTTTGTAAACTTTACTTTAGGTTGTGATAATAAATCTAACAAAAAAATGCTTTTATATCTTTTTATCTGGGAAGTGCTCAGTTCGAGCCGGAGCGCTCTCCGAGTAAGGATTGGCCCTAGAACCGAACAGTGAGGAACACCGGCTCTGATGGGCCGTACTGTCGACAAGAAACTATTGATATAGATCCGAAATTTCCTACCTTCAAGGAAGGATTTCAAAAGTTTTAAGAGCCAAAATGGAAAGCCCTTTTGAATTAATTTATAGAGAAGGCCCTTGTGCCACACCTTATCAACTGCCTTCGAGACATCCAGAAGCAAGATGCCAGTACTTTCGTTAAGGGTGAAGCCCCTGGTTACTTGCTCCACAAGTCTGTAACTCCGTACTATGTTCAGACCGAAATCCAAATTGCACGTCAGGAATCACATGGTGATCTGACGAGAAATTCGCAAGGTGACGTAGAATCACCTTTTCAGCGATCTTAGACGGAGCAGACAGTAGGCTGATGGGACGATAGTCCTGGGGAAATATCGAACCCACCTTCTTTGGAATCATTATAACTTCCGCAGTCTCCCACGCCGATGGAAAGTACTGGGTCCTTAGCATGGCAATGATAATAGCCCCGAGATAAGGCAAGGAAAGCAGCTTCAGCGCCTTATTAGTGATTTGATCCTACCCAGGCGCTGTACTCACCTTGAGGTCTTTAATATGACCTTGAAGCTCTGCTGGTGTGCAATACGGGATCTCCGGAGAAGCCGCTAAATGTGCTGTCCAACTCTTCAGCTGATGAATCTTCTGAGGAAGAATCACTAATGACGGCGCCGGGATCACTGACGCCATTGTCCCTAAAATATCTCCTGACAAAACTTACGATGTGTTGCTCCTCGTCGAGATCATTATCAAGATCATAGTTGGGAGAGAACTGTCGTTCCATATTTTCAGCGAAAACCTCGACCTTGTCCTCTATCCTGAAGACTATGCCCGCAGGACCGTGGATGTGCGGGAGTTGTTCTCGCTTTCCGTTTTTGAGCGGCTTCGCCACTTTCCAGAGAGGAGTACTTGAGTCAAGCATCCCCGCCAGAAAGTCGTTCCATTGCTCATTGCGGAATTCATGGAGAGCATTTCTTACTTCATGAATAAGATTCGTCGCTCTGCGAATGTCATCAGGATGATGCAAAGCTAGGTAAGAATGGTCGTGAGATTTTTGAGTGTTTGGAACAAGTTTACGCAGACAATTCTTTGAAGGAACCAACCATCAACAAGTGGTTGAAAAGCCTTCAGGAAGGCCGAGAAGATGTGAAGGATGACCAACGCTCAGGACGCTCCTCCACATCGAGCTCTGAGGGAAATGTTGGACGATTTTGGGGTTGTGTTCTAAAAGACCGCCGATTGACTGTTTGAATGATATTGGAGAAACTGTCAATCCCCAAAACCATCGTAAACGGAATTCTAACAAAAAAACTTGAAATAAAAAGATTGTGCGCGAAAATCGGTCCGAAGCTCTTGACTCCAGAACAGAAAGCAAGGAGGGTTGCTTCCTGTGAGGATTTTTTGGAAGCAGAGGAAAGGGGGGACTTTCTCAACCGGTTCATCATTGGAGACGAGTCTTGGTTCTACGAATTCGATGTGGAGCTGAAATCTCGAAGCAGGGGAACCGAAAAAGTCGAAAAAATCAAGGTCCAATGTGAAAATAATGTTGATTGTTTTCTTCAATTCTCGGGACATTGTTCAACAGGAATTTGTTCCTCCAGGCCAGATAGTCAACGGAAATTTCTACATTGAAGTTTTGCGTTGTCTCGTAGCTCGTATGGCCCGAGTTAGACCGGATTTGGCAGAAGGCGGCAGGGGGATCCTTCATCACGATGGCACTTGGGGGATGTGGAAGGTAGAAACGACACGGCAAATGAAGAACCTCACAATGAAATGAAGACTTTCAGCAATTGTATCAACACTGGAGACGGCGTTGGCAGAAGTGCATCATCTTGTCTCATGGGGAGTACTTTGAAGGAGACCATATTGAAATATACTAAGTGACATATAAATCCGAACACCCAGTTTAAATGGTTTTATTTTAATAAAATTTTGTATAAGTACTTAATGAAGCATAATAAGTAAATGATAAAAATTTCAAAATGATTGCACTGCTTTAAAGCCCTTTGACCTTTAATAATGTGTGGATGCACCCTGATGTGCTACGCATTCTCCAACGCGCCTAGGCATGCTTCTGATCAGGTGGTCAATGTCCTCCTGTGGTATCTCATTCCAGGCAACCACCAACTCCTCTCGAAGTGCTTCTAGAGTCTGAGGAGGACGTTGCAAATTGAGCAATCTCCTACCCATCATATCCCACACGTGCTCAATTGGGAATAAGTCGGGAGATCTTTGGTGGCCATGGTAACAATGTGACATCATTATGTTGAAAGAAGTCTATTGTGACTCTTGCAACATGTGGTCGGGCACTATCTTGTTGGAAAGTTGGATCTGCCAGGGTGTCAAGATAGGGTAAAAGATGGGGTTCTAGAACCTCTGATGAAGATTAAAGGTGACCTGGAACCATAAGCTATAGCACCCCAAACCATAACTCCAACAGTGTGATGAACATGTCTTTCAACAAAAAACTGTGGATTCCTCCTTTCACCACGTCGCCTTCTAACCCTGGCACGACCATCGTGCATGCCTAAACAAAATCGAGACTCGTCACTAAAGACAATACTTTTCCATTCCTGATCCCAGAGTGACCGTTGTCTGCACCACTCAAGGCGAATACGTCGGTGTTCTCGAGTTAAAGGGAGGACCCAGTGTGGCCGGTATGAAAACAAGCCAAAACTTCTCATTCGTCGGTAAACACTTCGCATGCCAATAGGTCTTCCGTGTTCTGCAAACCATTCATTTGCAATGAACCTGGTAGTGGAGAAACGGTCCCTTAAGGCCAATAATCTTAGGCGGCGATCTTCACGGTCTGTTGTTCTACGGCGGCGTCCAGTGCCCCTTGCTCTTTGCGTACGGCCTTCTCGAAGCCATGCCTGACAACACCTAACCACAGTGTCTACACTTCTTTGCACTCTAACTGCAATTGCCCGAAAATAAAGTTATTTACAGTAAGATAAATACATTCACCAACTTTTATTAAAATAAAACCATTTAAACTGGGTGTTCGGATTTATATGTCACTTAGTATACCTGAACAATTGTAAAATAAAGTTATTCCAGTTTTATACGTATTTTACGGACAAACCTCGCATAAAGAGCAATGCCGTTAAGCTGATACAATAAAACTAGGAGATTTCCATTATAGGCCAAGTTTCCTAATGATAAGTTCATATTGACGTCATGATAGGGCTGGAGCATTTGCCACTATTTTGATAAACACGTTTGAAAAAATTTTGAATGTAATTAAATTCCTGATCATTTTGCTTCTATAAATTGTCTGAAAATATTATATTTTTCATACTTACGTGTTCCCGAAAAAAAAAGGATTCACTCTAAAATGGTATCATAGATAATGACACGTGGCTATCCTTCGCTTTCTTTTTTTATTTATTTCAATTTTGGTGCAACTTAGTGTTTTAATCTCTTCTAGAATTATCTTTGATTTCCACCGATGGAGTAAAATCAAAATGTTACATTTTGCGACAGCGCGTCGGAAAATGTAATAAATATCGTCACGCAATACAAATTATCACTGCCTGCGTGCACGCAGCCATTTCTAAAAAGGACGACGACAGTCCCTAAGAGCGCCATCGTATGTGTATTCAAGGGGGAGGCAGCATTTCTCGTCAATAGGAGTTCCTTCAGTTTTTTTAGATCTGTGTGATTATAAGGAATGTAGTGAAGATCGAAAAACAATTTTAACGTTATAATACCTTTATTAACCATACAATTACACAAAAATTCACTCCATAATGGTTCAGTTAAAAAAATAAAAAAGCTTAATATGAAAATACATAAAGCTCTAACTGTATAAACATGTACTATACTTATTGCTTTGCCAGTATTGCATTTCGGCACTATTGCACATTTCTTCTGGATTTTATAAACTTTTAGCGATTGATAGCGCTTATACTCTTTTATTTTGAAATTGTCAAAAATATATTCAACCATTTGTACTTTCACTAGTGATAGTCTTGAAGCATATAGATTATAAAAATGATTACAGTGTATATAATAACTATATAGCAACATTATAATTGCAAAAAATATATATTTTTCATCTGTTTGTATAGGTCTCGTATAACGTCTTCATTTTAAGCCTGTCCTCTTTTAGTTTGTTGGATGTTAGAGTCAGGACGACAAATGATCCAAGAAACATTTTGTTCATGAAATGGTTTTAGACAAAATGCTGTAATAATGAGTTACTATACATACAGGAACGGCAGAAAATCATTGAAGTCATGTTTTTAATGCGAACAAAAATGAAGCATCTACAGACTCGTTATCTTTGATGCCATACACATGTAACACCCGGCCTCTATAATCGTTTGCCAATCCAGTATACAACAACGAGAACGAATATCTCTTAAAATGTCCATTTTTCTAAAATTTCTCAACAACACTATAGATTATCCAGTTTCCTATACATACAAAAAATATTAATATCAAGTTCATTTCGTTAACAGATTGTCACAATGCATCTCAAAGTCAACACTTTGTTTAAACATCGAAATAGTTAATCAACAGTGATAAAAATATAACATACAACACCAATAATATTTCCTACATAGTATTGCTTTCATTATATTTACGCTGTCACAAAAACACCTGATCCCACATCATATTTATTCAAATGAAAACTATGGACATAACCAAAATATGTTCAGACTGGGTATCATAGAGAAAGATAACTCGAAATGCTACTAAATAGACTGGGGCGCAGAAAAAATCACTTTCTGATCCAAATTATCAACGTCGGAAGTCAACTTTATCCTCAACCACACGTAAAGCACCTAGTAGCAATCGAATATGGCTACATTTATCACTTTTCTTGCTGAATATTTCACAAATTATCTTCTAAACCTACAGCTTTACGCTTTCATACCGTTCCTTTTCATTTAAGTAATCAATAAATGATCTTCTTTAAATTGTAAAGTACTGTTCGTCTCAAGTTTAATATAATTAGATTTTTAAACCTCCCCTGGATTTACTTCTGGCACAAATTTAAATAATATGAGAAAATAACGTGTATCCCTTAAGGGCCCATCTAAATATTATATGGATTGTCTCAGGAACTAAGTGGTGGATTTCGTTCAAATACGCGTCAATACAATACCTTGGAAAAATAAAAGCTTCAACACCTTTAGAAAACTGGAACAAATAGTACCGACTATTTTGCTTCAATTTCTCCTAAAGTTAATCCGCCAGTGTCCCTGTAATGTCTCGCACTGTTAAATGCAGGTATACTTGTGACAGAGTATATACATATTTTGTTAAATTTGTATTATAGCACATTATTTCATTTCAGTTGTATAGTTAATAGGGAAAAATTAGGTATATAAAAGTTTTCAGTTCGGATAAGATATACTAGGAATTTATAAAAGTCTTCTGAGTCAACAGCAAGCAAGCACTTGCATTGGTGTAGCTGGAAATTTTAATTTTTTGTTTACCGCATCAAATCTCAAGTGCAGGTTTCTCCTATATTTCATGAATGATGAGTATACTGCAAGATGATCTCTCATTTTGTTCTGACACTGACAAGTCAGCGGCGAAATGTTGTTGATTCAGACGACCTTTATATCCGCGGTAAAGTAGTGTATAATAAATAGTGAACACAAATAATACAATAATTGACTCAAGTTCCTAAGCGTAGGCGTACCATGGCTGTTTTCTGACCCATCTCAGTTTACCGTGAGTCTGAGCGTGGATTCTCACGCTGGCACTTTCAGCTGCTCTAACTGTTTCTTTTACGCTCTGCATCAGGTTCTGAGCGTTTCCTTCAAGCATTTCGGTCGCTTCCCTATCCTCCTCGGAACCTGGATACGTCAATTTTATTAGTGACGCTCTCCACACGTTTCGGAAAATTTGAGTAAATGGCAAACCCGTAAATCATTACGGTAGGTAGGAGAATGTCTTTCACAAGCATATGCATGCTCATGCGTTTTCACCGCAAATCATATTTGTAAAATATTGACAAATGCACGTCGAAATTGGCACCCCACTACTTGAGAAGTTCCAGGACAGACAAAAGAAATTCCGAAAATGATCAGAATCGTCTAAAATGTCAACAAACGAAGTTTGAGCGATATAAAAAGAATCTAGTTGACTGACTCATAAACGGTAATCCTCTATGACCTACGAAATGAGACAAAACCTACCAAGCTGACAGATCAGTGCAAATTAATGTGGTTTATACAGGGTGACAGGTAAATAGGTGTAAAACATTTTAGGAGGTGATAGTACAGCCCCTTAGCTATCGAAATTAGTATATAATACCATACCCTGTATTCAAAGGTTGAAAAGTTATTGAAGATTTAAGATTTTTTTAAAAACGATCCATATTTCAGAGTAAAAAAGTCGAGAGAGAAAAAAGTTGACGATTAAACATTTGTTTTTTGTGGTTTTGGGTTATTATTTCAATAATTAACTATTATAAATTAAACAAGATTCGAAAACAATACCAAACAACGTATTTATTTTCATTCAAAAATGGTTAACTAAGAAAAACAAATAACGTTTTACAGTAAGTAAGGTGTTTTACAAAAAAATCAGTATACAAAAAAACGTACAAACAATTTAAATAATATCCTTGTTTCATAAGGAATCTAAATTGATATGATAAGTGCACAAAAACTGTGTGAAACTAAGCATAATGTATTGTAATACAACAATAGGGAGTAAATTTACCAATGGCTTGTCTCCTATTTTCACAACTCTCTGATTGATAAGAAAGTGTTTTTGTGAAAATAATGTAACTGTAAGCTATGGGATAGTTATTATTTTAAACTACGGTTAAGTTACACGATTAGATTATTTACACAGTTGTAATTGTACTACAGAATAATAAAAACTGACTAAAAGTTACTACAATTCGTAAGTAAAATACAATAATGAAATGAAGGTAAAATTCATTGCAATTGTTGTTCGAACTGACGCCCGCCGTTTCTTATGCAAGCCCGTAGTCTTTTTCTCATGTTGGTACGGGTGATGCGGCCAGTTAGTTGTCCTCTGATAGTGTCAGTAGCAGCAATAATTCTTTCTTTCAACTGTGCAAGAGTGTCTATGGGCTCAGCGTACACCAGTGACTTCATGCGCCCCCATAAATAATAGTCACACGGTCTTAAATCTGGGCTCCTCGCTGGCCACGGTGTCGGTCCACCTCGGCCAATCCAGCGACAAAGATATTTCTCGTCCAGCCACTGTCTAACACCCGGACGGAAATGCGCGGGACAGCCATCGTGTTGGTAGATCATCTGCATCCTGAGATTCAGAGGCAGGTCTTCGAGATACTCCCAGAGTTCGGATCTCAAAAAGTTTTCATAGGATTCGCCATTCAGGTTGTCAGGCAAAAAACTGGTAAAATTAGATACGTATGAATGATTCCCATCCACACGTTTGCCGAAAATCTTCTTTGATGGGCTCTTGGACTTGCCATGTGGGGATTTGCCTCTCGTAGGGCCCAATAATGTAAGTTGTGATAATTTGTTATCCCCTCTCTGTCAAACTTAGACTCGTCGGTCCACAATATTTTAGTTAAATAGTCGTTTTCTTCTTGATCCCGATGAAGCGTGTATCGACAAAAATCAATTCTTCTTGCGGGATCTCCTTCTTCTAATACTTGAAACGGTGTGTAATGGAAAGGGTAAAGTCTCGGCGAATGCAAAACGAACCAAACTTTCCACTGAGTTAAACCAAGCTGCTTTGCTATAACTCGTGTAGACGTCGTCGGGTCTCTGCCGTAGCATTCTAGTATTGCCTCTCGATCTTCGTCGTCAAACAACCGAGGTCTACTAGCATCATGATGTCTCTCATGAACCTGTCCACTTTCCTTGACGCGTTGGTACACAGAAGCAAATACTCGATGACTCGGTATTCGCCGATTCGGAAAACGGTTTTCGTATTCTCGCCTGGCTTCAACGGAATTTCCATCACTTAAACCATAACAAAACAGAATATCAGCGTATTTTTCGTTACGGTAACTCGCCATTATCAAAACTGATCAAAAAAGTAAAAGTACGTCCTACCGCGTTAAAGGTTGATATTCTACTAACTAACCTAAGCGTTAGTTCCCTTTCGTTGATCCGTCAGCTGTGTCAATTCATAACACACGCAGAGCTTGCTTCCGAGGAGCGACGACAGATTCGGAATACTTAAACCCGAATAACGGCACAGGGCACAAAAAATAACAAAAGGGATCAAACCATGAAAGGCTCGGTTTACCTGCTCAGTACAATGAAATGCGCTTAGCGGTCCTTTCTAGCAAAGTAATATTGTTTTGTTAAATGGTTTACTTACTGATTTTAGAAACCTAATGAAACGAGGAAGTTTTTGCAGTTATTTGTACATTTTCTTTATTATGATTTTTTTGAAAAAAAAGACTTCTTAATGTGAAAGTTGAAAATAAAAATTTTCATTTAACATTTAAATGAAAATAAATACGTTTTCAGTAGTGTTTTCATATGTTTTTTAATTTATTTAAATAATAACCTGAAACCACCAAAAAAAAAAATGTTTAATCACCAACTTTTTTTTATCTCAAATATTTTACTCTGTAATCTGGGTTGTTTTTTTAAAAAAATTAAATCTTCCATAACTTTTTAACCTCTGAATATATGGTATGGTATTATATACTAATTTTGATAGCAAAGGAGCTGTACTATCACCTCCTAAAATGTTTTACACCTATTCACCTGTCACCCTGTATGCAGCAGTGTATCTTACCTTTTCCTGGCTCCCTCTTATCTATGGTAAGCAACAAAGACGTGTGGATTTACAATATGATTATTTACAAATGACCATCATCAAGAATATAGGTGATGTTTACCTTGAGATCCGAGCATTGTCGCCTTGACAGTACTCAGAATCTTCAGTTGAGTGGCGATGGTTGGAATCCGCTCGCACACCTGTAGCAGATTGGTTCGTATCCTCTTGTCGGTACATTCTCTTGCTAGCTGTTTCGCGATACGAGTGACGTCAGCGCTAGCATCGGCGATGGCCTTAGCCGTTGCGATCAGTTCTCTCTTGGAACCTACAAAAAAGTAAACACGAAGTCCGGTAGGATTGACTCTCAGTTTTTATTGTTAATTCAATAAATACAGTCAACAATTAATAAAAGATTCGTTACTATCTATTTTGCTGTCACTAGGTAGAATGACACTGTCCGTCACTCAGTCTAAGAAAAAAGTGAAATTTGTAGAAATAAGATCTAAAAAATCATTACAGAGTGTAGGTTTTCCTGATTTTTTTAAAGCCTATGTTTTGAAAAGTACACGACTTAGGTTTTTTATACTTTTCTGACTTCTGGAACACCCTACTAGATATGTTCCATCTTTCCGGTACTCACCTTTGTCATCATTGTGCACAAGTTCTGAAAGTCTCGCCATAAGCTTAGCCATCCTTTGTGCAGCGGCAATAAGTTCGTTGTCTTTGGCTGACCATTGTCTGACTTCTCTGTGCAAATTGTGCGCAGCAACCTAAATAAACGGTATAGGCATTTTGCAGACAAATACGAGGGATGTCTTTTAAATTTTGCATATAGAAACATAGGCCGCGCGGATCGAACGTCAGTACTGAATCTTAACCTGACTCTTTAGTAAACTTAAATTCAAAGTTTCACAATAATACGTGCAGTGTTCTCACTACAGTGAATTTTTAAGTGTCACCAAGTCATTAGAAAAATGGAACTCAACCGAGAACATTTTCGCGCCATAATTTATTACAACTTTCAGAGACAATTATCGCAAAAAGAATGCCTTGCTAAGTTAATGTCTGTTTTCGGCAACGAAGCGCCACATCAGTCGACAATTTCCCGTTGGTATGGAGAATTCAAATGTGGACGGGCGAGGCTTAGCGACGATTCCAGGGTGGGTGCACCAAAAACGGCAGTCTCCCAGGAAAACGTCGATGCTGTGCGCAAACTCATCAAAGACCTCAATTCAAAAAAATTTACATGAAGAATTAGGAGTAAGAAAATTAGTTTCTCGTTGGATACCCCACCTGTTGACTGAAGAGCAGAAAGCAGCCAGGGTTAATTGGTGTCAAAACCTTGACCATTTCAATTCCGGAAACTCAAAAAATGTGTGCAGCACTGTTAGTGGTGATGAATCGTGGATTTACTGTTATGAACCAGAAAATAAACGACAGTCGGCTGTTTGGGTATTCCAAGGTGAAGAAAAGCGAAAAAATTGTCATCCGTTCTCGATGTGTTTCGAAAAAGAAGGTCGCGACATTTGTGTCAAAAGCGGGTCATATTGCAACAATTCCTCTTAATGAGCAAAGAACTGTTACTGCGGATTGGTATACCACCATGTGTTTGCCAAAAGTCATCACCGAGCTTCGAAAAATCAACCCCGAAAGAAGAATCATCCTCCACCAAGACAATGCAAGCTCGCACACAGCCCAATAAACAAGGCAGTATTTAACGAAGCAGTTGACGCATTCAAAAATGCCGTTTTGGATCTGCCAGCAAACGAGTGGAATAAGTGCTTCGAAAATTGGTTCGAGCGCATGCAGATGTGTATTAATCTTCGTGGAGAATACTTCGAAAAACAATAAAGTCATTTAAAACTACCTACCGTGTTGTTTTATTTCCATATGCAAAACTTAAAAGACATCCCTCGTATCTGTTTTCACGTTTTCACTTCTACAACTATTCGAAACTACTCTGAGTAAAAATTTTGGTCCATCATGGACGTCTTTGTTCTATATATTGCGATCTACAACATTCTGATTTTTTCTTAAATAGCCGAGACATTCTCCATAAGGTGTCTTTATCTAACTTCTTACCATGATAGGTTGGCTTGGAAGTGGTGCCTTCTTGAAAACTTCATCTTCGTCATCAGTTTCTGGAGGTGGCGGTCTCATAGGAGCACCGTCATGGGGCAATGGAGGACGGGGTGGTGCTTGATCTAAACAGCCACATAATCATTATATATTCATACCGATGCCATTTTATGTGCTAAAGTAAACTTACATCATGTACATATACAGGGTGTTCCTTAATGATATGCGAATATTTGAGGGTGCGAATCTACATGAAAAGTTAATGTTAGTTTTCTTTATAAACTATGGTCCAAAAATGTTTCCTTACAAAAACTCGGGGTGTTGAAGTTTGAGGGGGAAAATGCAAATTAATTAGTATTTTCAGAACCGCTTCAGATATGTCACTGATATTTAGTACGTAGTGAAAGTTAAAAAAGTTACATTTTTTTCAATGCAAAAATAATTTTTAGCTTTAACAGTGGCGTGCGTAAGGGTATTAACTATAAATCCGTCTGGCTTGCTCACCATTACCGTCGGCAAGGCCATATACGTAATGCATTTCCGCCATTTCTGCATTTGAATAATTCACCATTATTAACAAGATTGTAAAAACAATAATGAAAAAGATTTGAATAACAGAGACTTGTCAGATGTCAAAAGCCAGTGACATACTCCAGAGCAACTAGATATCATTAATTTTCACGAACAATAGAACGGTTTTTATTTTTTTACTCAAAAATGGCGCATCTAGGGAAAGCAACTCAAGAGAGATCATTTGTTTTAAATTGAACGGGGAATTCAAAAATAATTTTTATTTGGCAAAAACCATTGGCGTACCATTTTTTTCTTAAAAAATATCGAAGTCAATACCCGTACGCACGCCACTGTTGAAGCTAAAAATTATTTTTGCATTGAAAAATATGACAACTTTATTAACTTTCACTACGTACTAAATATCAGTAAAATATCTGAAGCGGTTCTGAAAATATTAATTGATTTCCATTTTTTTCCTAAAACTTCAACACCCCAAGTTTTTGTAAGGGAACATTTTTGGACCATAGTTTATAAAGCAAACTAACACTAATTTTTCGTGCTGATTCACACCCTTAAATATTCGTATATCATATACGAATGACAACTATTGTATTATACCATCAGAAAATGACATAAAAAATCGTGTGAAATAAAAACAATCCGAAACTTCATATAGTCATGTTTTTATCTGCCTGACGCCATGCTTTTGATGAATACTACCAAACCCTGAAGGTATTCAAAAAATGGAATTTTGTAATTTTATTTTAGTGATTGATTCAATTCTGAAACGTTCACAAGCTCTAGGGCCGTACGTCAGTCATTCCTACATGTATGACGCCTTTATGCCATCCTTGATTTTCATAGTCTTTTCTCTTCTTCAGGAAGGCTGGGATATTTCTAGATTTCTTTTCCGTGTTAGCGTCAGCGCTCTCCTATTGTGAAGCATTGCTTTCTTTTTGAATTGTAGGAAATTTCAGGCTATATAACATACGATATAAATCAAAAGCATTAACATTTTGATCCAAATACATAGATGTAGATATTTGTAACATAACCTCAAAATAGAGAGACGTCACGGAAAACTATGAAAATCAAGGAGGCCAACGAGTGACGATATGGCCATAATTTCATATCAAGCCACAGTATGACAACTTCATGCAAAACAAACAAAAAAATGTTGAACTAAGCAATATCGAAAATAATCGAATCAAGTGAACATTAATCTTTGCATGCACTCATGCTTAATAATTATTGAATTTGATTGATGAACTTATTCAATAATAAACAGAATCCAAATATCAATCAATCAAATGACGATTTTGATCTTCATAGAGAAAAAAAAAACAATGATGAATGATATTATTTATAATAAAAATAATATTCATGCTCATAAAATACAAATAACTAAAAAAAGCATTACCATCCTCCATAATATACTCTGGAATAAAACTGTAACGTCCTGTTTGCATGTAATAAAATGAATGTTAAAAGTTAGTTCATGATATTCTACACAACCAAACTCTTAGATCTGTGTTATATTTGCTACGATACCAAAGCTGTTCATGGTTTCAACAAAGCTAAGTAAGCTCTGAAGCTGAAGCTATAAGCCAATGCGAAGCTGAGTAGTGCCACCTATTCCAGTCCATTACACGGTACATAGTCACCCAAAATGCACCAATCCAGTAGAAACAACATAGCCTATAAAATACCATTGGACCAATTGGAGATTCAGATCAAAAGGAAGTAGGAAAAATTGTTTGCCAATTGGAGACTGAAATCAGTCTAAGAGCCAATAAGGAAGCCAATCCCATATACCAGAGGCACGGCGTTTACGAAAACAAGCACAAAATATTTAAAAATGTAAACAATAGAGACTACAAATAAATCGAAAAAATTGAGTTGAAAAAATTTTCGTAAACGTTCCATATCCCCTGATTGTGTAAAATATTTCAATTAAAATCGAATTTCGTAGACTTTTATTGGATATCTGATCAAAATCGCCAACACCGGTGGTACATGCAGCAAGGAAAATCATAAAAATTACCTGCTTCATAATAGTTAGGCGCAAGTTCTTGACAGAGTAAATCAGAATTGTCGCCTGGAAGACGACACATGTGGAATTAGTACCATAACCAAGAAAAGTATATCAGCCAACAGTATCAGAAAAATTTTGAATAAAAAATATAATTGATTTATCAGTGCGCTTTTTAATAGACTGAATATGACATACTGTTACCATTTTCCTACAAAAAACAGCGTTGTTTAAACATAGAAACTTGGCTTCACGAACGCCACTGATGTAAGTATTCTAGGAATAATTTTAAACATGTGTACAAATTTATTACAGACATTTTAACGTGTTGAATCCGTATAAGCGAAAAAACTTTTATACGAGCCCCTTCCCACTTCAGTTGGCCCAACTAAAGAAATCTTAGTTTTTTTCTTATCAAACACAAATAGTAAAAATGTAGCAGGGTGTAATAGGTTTAAAATATTAACACTGAATATTCTGATAATACATATATAGTAGAAAACACCAACTTTATCACTCCCTAATCAAATTTTCATTTCAATGCAAAATAAGTCTATAAAAAATGGGTAGAGTAAAGGTTATTAGTGAGAAAATTCGGTTACTGATAATTAAATTTTTTAATTCTGGGAAATCAAACTCAAAAATTGCAACTTTCTTAGACTTATCGCGGTACAGTGTGAGAAATATTGTTAGAAGATATAACGTAACTGGTTCAGTTAATATTAAGCCACGATATGTAAAAAAAAGTAATATCACAAATGCCGACCGAAGAAGAATAATCGTGAAAAACAGGCGCGCCAATTATTTACAATTAAGTGCAATGTGAAGTGACGCTGTTGGAAGGAGAATTTCGAGGTCCACAACTCATAGAGAGGCCCAAAAACTGGGATTTAGCACTTGCAAAGTGAAGTTAAAACCCTAAAGTTGCACAACTTGTCTATAGGCCAAAGAAAAGCCACTATTAACTCCACTGCAAAAGAAAAATCGGCTTAGATGGGCTAAAGAACAAAGGCAATGGACACCTCAACAATGGTGTGCAATACAATGGAGTGATGAGGCCCGATTCGAAGTTTGTGTTGGTGACAGTCGCAGTAGAGTTATTCGCAAAAAATGAAGCATTCCATGTTGACTGTCTGAAGAGAAAAGTGAAATTTCCAGCATCCATTATGGTCTGGGGCAGTAGGTCATCAAAAGGAGTAGGAAAACTTCAATTTATTGATGGAAATGTGGATACAAGCAAATATTTGGCAATTTTAGAAGAATCGCTTTTACCAGTGATGGAAGAATATTTGACATCCGCTAACATTTTGTGTTTCAGCAAGATTGTGCAGCGTGCTATACCTCAAAAAAGACTATAAAATGGATGGAAGAAAATAATGTACCACTTTTGAAATGGGTTTCTAGCAGTCCAGATCTGTCACCTATTGAAACTTTGTGGCACGAGATGAAAAAGGTTCTACGACAACATCCTGCTCGTACAATCACCGAACTGAGGCAAAAGCTTCAAGAAATATGGGATTGTTTTACACCAAATTTTTGCCAAAACTTGGTTAACACTATGCCCCAAAGAATTTCAGCCGTAATAAAAAATAAAGGTGATGTTACCCAATGGTAATCTTTCAATTGTTGCTTTGTTAACTTCGCGCATTTATTCGCACATTGTTTATTTGGTCACATGTTCTATTAGTTATAGGTCTAAGTGATTTCAAATATGTATTTTTTACGACTAGAGTGTATCTAAAATGTTTTTGAGAAAATAAATTGTTTTAGAAGTAAATAGTTTCGTCATGTTTAGTTTATAAAGGCATATTTTGGTACAAATCTTGAAGTGGGCGAACTGAAGTGGGAAGGGGCTCGTATATTCGCTAAATATTCTTAGCAATACTTCTGATAACTGTAGGCTGATAAAGACGTTTCTATAATAGAGAAAAGAGTGTAGGAAGGGGAAAGTTTGATTATGTTCAGAAAGATAAGTGTAAGAGGACAGAAAGAAAAAGAAGACCAAGTGTTAAGTACCTCTCGCCCATTTAGGCAAAGGACTGAGGCGTCCTTGCTGGTGCTGCGTAGGGCTGAGGGCCCCATACTCTCTGCCAGGCGTTGGTGTGTTTCTCAGCGGTTCGCCAACTACAATAATGACGATGTCGGTGTCACAAGTAGCAAACTATATACAGCCGATGCATGTTCTACTCTAACTACTACCAATGTCAGAGAAATATTTATGATTAGACAACTTATGCTGAGTATACTAGATATGTCTCGTTACCAAAGAGGGATACTGAAAGGCAAGGGTATTTACTGAGATATAACTTTCTGGGTGGCCAACAATGCACCCTAACATTTTCAACATGTATTTTTTTATTGAAATGTCAGTCAAAATAATGCCAAAAACTTGAACTGAAATCAGAATAAGTTGAAGATTGGCTGGTGACAGCCAAACCTGGTTTAATAACTTTCATTGTCAACAATTTTTATATAGGGTGCCCTCAATAAACAGTCAATCTCTTAAATGAATATAGATGACAAAAAAATAACGTCAAGTAGGTTGACTTTGTATTTCTCACACAAATCCTTCATCAACTAGATCAGGTTCCGTATTATATCGTAAAACTACAGTTCTGCATCTCAAACTAAAAACAAGATACCAATAAACAACATTTCTGTTTCAATGGCAAATGTATGGACATCTGTCTCTGCAAATTATATCATTATGCGTAATATTACTTGGATCAGATATTTCTTAATAATAGAGACCATACCAGATGTGCAAAACGCAAATATTCCTAACGTCGCTACGGAATTTCCGCCAACCCGTGGTAGAATAAACTCCGCACGCCTATGGCCTGCGCCGAGGCAAAGAGAAGGTAAAGGAAGTATAACTGTACCTTTACCGCCAACGAGATGATCGGAACTAGAGACGTGCAGCGCAAATGGCGTGATTTGGGCTTTAACGGCGTTTTAATTTCATCTGATAGATGCATAGCATTACCGAAAGCAAAAGCTTTTTAATAATAGAAGTATTTCACTGATACCGAAGATACAATATTAGCAACCCCCCATCCCCTAATTCTGAGTTTTGAACCTTTACAAAAATTCTGAAAATGAGCAGAAATTTCTGAAACCTCAAAAACGGAGCTTGAGCAATTTTTCTGCCCGTAGCCCCGCCGTTACTGGATCGATATTCAAAACCTACAAAGTTTTTTCATCCATGGCATAGTAATGACCGACAGAGACACCAACACTATAAAATTCAACGAAACCTCGATATATCGGCACCCAGGAAAACGTCGATGCTGTGTGCAAACTCATCATTGAAGATAGACATGTGACATATCGCGAGATTGAGGCGTCCTTGAAGATCTCAGAGACCTCAATTCAAAACAAGGAGTAAGAAAATTAGTTCCTCGTTGGATACCCCACCTGTTGACTGAAGAGCAGAAAGCAGCCAGGGTTAATTGGTGTCAAAAAATGCTTGACCGTTTCAATTCCAAAAATGTGTACAGCATTGTTAGTGGTGATAAATCGTGGATTTACTGTTATGAACAAGAAAATAAACGACAGTCGGCTGTTTGGGTGTTCCAAGGTGATGAAAAGCCAACAAAAGTCATCCGTTCTCGAAGTGTTTCGAAAAAGATGGTCGCGACATTTGTGTCAAAAGCGGGTCATATTGCAACAATTCCTGATGAGCAAAGAACTGGTACTGCGGATTGATATACCACCATTTGTTTGCCAAAAGTCATCACCGAGCTTCGAAAAATCAACCCCGAAAGAAGAATCATCCTCCACCAAGGCAATGCAAGCTCGCACACAGCCCAAAAAACAAGGCAGTATTTAGCGAAAAAAAAAAAACGTGGAATTATTGGACCATCCTCCATATAGTCCCGATCTAAGTACTAACGATTTCTTTACTTTCCCGAAAATTAAAAACAGACTGCGCGGTCAAAGGTTCCAGTCACCAGAAGAAGCAGTTGACGCATTCCAAAATGCCGTTTTGGATCTGCCTGCTTTGAAAATTGGTTCGAGCGCATGCAGATGTGTATTCGTGGAGAATACTTCGAAAAACAATAAAGTCATTTAAAACTACCTACCGTGTTGTTTTATTTCCATATGCAAAACATCCCTCGTACGCCAGTAATATCGCATTTTGACCAAGATTTTGGACATGAGAAAGGTGAGTTCACGGTTTGATCCTCAGAAGCCCGCGGATGACCAAAAATTGCTTCAAATTCAACATTCGAGAGGCAAAATAAAATACAAAAGGTTTCTGTACAACATTGTGACTGGTGACGAAACGTGGTGTTTTCAAAACGATCCCGAAACCAAACGTCAAAGTGCCGAATGGAAGCATCCAAGCGAGCCAAATCCGAATAACAGGCATTTGGAAGAGTCCAACATCAACATCATATGAGGCCCCAACTAGGCACTTTGCTGTCAAAAATTTTTTTAACTACAGTCTCGTTTAGGCGTTATTTAAGAAAAACCGATTTTCAGTATTACTAACAATAATTATTGGTATACTACAACTATTTAAAACTGTAATGACTCATACGCGTGATCAACACGTGATCAGAGCTCGATCCCGGCTTCCTTCCAGTACAGCCGTATAGCGTACGACATATGTCATTTCTGTGGCTTTGCGGTGGTCAACAGCACCGACAGAGATGGAAATAATGGCTGATTGTTCTCCGCCGGTAGAACCAATGAAATCAAAGACGCGCCTCGACCGGCAGACTCATAGGCGTCGGCAACGCATTGGAACGTGTTTCGTTGAGCGATCGCATATTGTGTGTTTTTATAAGATTTGTTGTGTGATTGTTATTGTTGTGGTTTCTGTGGTTACTGTTTTGGTTATACTTAACCATAGAGAGTACAAATGGCACGAGTGGAAGTACTGAAAGCCAGGGAACAAGTAGACGGCTTCGTAAAGCACTGAAGAGGGACGCGAAAGAAATCGTGCTCAACGTGTTCAATTATCTGAACAGAACTATGTCGCAGGGAGATGCACTCGCGCGTTGTGAAAGTATGACAGGCGTTCCAGAGTGGACCATTCGCAGGGTGGTGCATGAAAAGAAGAAAACTGGAGCTACTACTGATCCAAAGTTTAATTTGAAGGGACGAAAGGCCGTTAAATTGGATGACGATAACAAAATGGCGTTAAGGCGAACCGTACATTCATTCTTCTTTAGGAATGAGATACCAACCCTCAAGGCTGTACATGCAGCGATCAAGGAAAATGAAATTATACGCCAAATGAGCGTCGAGGTAATGAGGAAATCCCTGCACGAAATTAATTTTCGTTACGAAACGCGTAATCGGAAGTCAGTATTGATAGAGAGACCTGAAATAGTCGCCTGGCGTCGAAAATACCTACGCGAAATGATTGAATATAGGCGACAAAGCAGAAAAATCTATTATTTGGACGAGACATGGGTAAATGCAGGTCACACAGTTAAAAAAACCTGGATAGACAAAAACGTAGTGAGTAACCGACAAGCAAGCATTGAAGGTTTGTCAACAGGTCTTCGTGGACCGTCAGGGAAAGGTCAAAGATTGATCGTAACTCATATTGGTAGCGCTAGTGACTTTTTAGAAGAGTGTGACTTGATTTTCGTCTCTAAGAAAGGAGGTGATTACCATGACGAAATGAATGCCAGCTGCTTCGAGAGCTTGTTTCAAGGGGTGCTTCAGCGAGTTGAGCCCAACTCTGTGATCGTCATGGATAATGCTTCCTACCATAGTCGTCGAGCCGAACGTGTACCGACTATGGGATCTCGAAAAAGTGACATGCAGCAATGGTTGCGCGAAAAAGGAATCCCGTTTGACGATTCATGTGTGAAAGCGGAATTGTATGAAAAAATTAAACAGCACAAACCTGCGAACATTAGTTACGTGACTGATGAGATGGCCCGTCAATGTGGTGTCACTGTGCTGCGGTTACCGCCCTACCACTGTGAACTGAACCCAATAGAGCTCATCTGGGCTCAAGTGAAGGGTTATATTGCGCGCCATAACACAACCTTCAAATTACTAGACGTTAAGGTTTTTACTTGAGACTTCCATACAGCTAGTAACGCCCGAAGCTTGGCAGAATGCTATCCGTCATGTTGTGAAGGAAGAAACAAAAATGTGGCAGCTTGACCACCACATCGACACCATCATAGAGCCAGTCATAGTCAATTTCAACGAGGAAAGCGATAGCGACAGTTTATTACTGTCAGATGTAAGTGGAAGCGACGATGATGAATAAAGGTAATTCCGAAATTTTTGACTTACAATATGTTTCAAAGCACTCTTTATTAAGCATGTGACAAATCTAGTTCACCCATGTTAAACATTCATACCCCGCCTATGAACAGCCGACTACTGGTAGTTAAGTGATGTTCACGTGAACATCGATGAGTCATTACAGTTTTAGATAGTTATAGTATAGTTACTTGTGGCATTATTTTTATGTATTCTGTATGAATTCACGGGATCGATCACTTATTTTGGGTCACCCTGTATAAACTTCCTCAAGTTGCTGCCATACTCAATTACGAGAATACTCATCGAAAAAAGAATAAAGCATTTAAGTCCACATTGTTAGAGGATTGTGGTTAATATACATAAGCCTTTACAAATATTTCTCCGACATTCTATAAATTTATCATACAGGGTTTGTCCGGAAAGTAATGGGACTGAGTCGATTTAAAAATATTTTATTGAGCCAATTGTTACAATTCTTGAAAAACTTTCAAAATAGGCTCCTTCTGCGTCGATGCAGCGCTGCCAGCGCGATTTCCAAGCATTGAAGGCGTCACGGAAGGCATTCTCCGGAATGGCCTTGAGAGCCGCGGTGCATGCTGCTTGGATCCCCTCTGTCGTCTCAAAATGCTTGCCTTTCATCGGCCTTTTCAGGCGAGGGGGGCCACATCTGGGATGTAGGGTGGCTGCGGAAGCGTTGGGATGCCCGCCTTGGTCACCTTGGTCAGGTAGCTGTTTACAAGAAAGGCGGTGTGAGCCGGGGCGTTGTCGTGGTGCAACTTCCAGACGGCTGCGATGTCTTGTCGGACCCGACTGACTGACCCTTCGTTTGAGTCTCCTGAGCACTTCCACGTAAAACTTGGCGTTGACGGTTTGCCCAGGAGGAACAAATTCATGATGGACGAAGCCTTTGATGTCAAAAAAGACAATGAGCATCACTTTGGATTTGCTCATTCTTCCCTTTTTTGGGCGAGGAGACGCCGTCGTGTGCCACTCAGAAGATTGCCTCTTTGTCTCGGGATCATACTCAAAGATCCACGACTCGTCACCTGTGGTTACGTTATTCAAAAATTGAACACGAGTCACATTATCAGTGTTTGTCGAAGTCGAAGGTCTTCCAGAACGGTCTTCATCAGCTACCTCTTCCAGGCCCTGCCACCGAAACACACCACTTCTTGCTAAAGCAACACCTGGATAAGCCTGCTTGATCATATTAAACGTCTCTGTCGCAGATTTACCGAGTTTCACACAGAATTTAATCGCGTACCTCTGCTCTAACGAACGCTGCACTTTCGGCTTGCACCACTCACAGAAACCCGTCGCGCGACAATGCCGGTCCTGACTCTCCAAGTGCTCGGAGACAACTGACCAGCCGCTCATTCGTTAGCTAGGAACGCCCTCTACCGAATCCAGTCGGTGCGTGCACGCTGCGAAGTACAGTCATGGCGGAAGAAATGAGTCCTATTACTTTCCGGACAAACCCTGTATGTCTGAAAAGCCCCAGATATGTACCTTTATCAACAAAGTAATTGCTTGGTGAAGATTCTGAAAAAATCCAAATGTATTAGTAAATAGTTATCACATGAATGGTGGTGAGTTCTATTTTATTTACACAACCGACTTTGTATACGAAAGCAAATTGTGACTTACCCAAGTGCAATGCGTTTAAGTCAGGTAGTGGTGGTGGTGGGGGACTTACTTGCACCGCATCCCTTACTTGTCGCACGGCGTTCAAAAGACTTTTGTTCGATTCACGCCATCTAGAAGCAGCGCCAGGATCGGAAGGATTCAGCGCCACAGCTTTCGCGTCTTGCACCATCGGCGGCACGCTGTTTTGCAAAGCGTCCGACGCCCTGTTGAGGGTATCGATGAAATGAGGATCTTCTGAGTTATCGCTTTCTTGCTTGGCCACCAAAAGCACCCTATTCGCTAGCCGCGCGATAGCGGAAGTATTGTCAACCATCTTCTGTGGTTGTCTGTTCTTGATCGCCTCCTCGCACAAGAACGTGTGTTTTTTCATTTGCTCTTCAGAGGCTTTTATGAAATCCGCCGAATCGGTCGCTTCGTCGCACAGATTTCGCACCTTGGTGATAGTGTCAGCGTATTGCTGTCTTAGGTTTTCAAAATGTTCGTCGGCTGCCTTCGAGGTCGGGTAATTCATGCGAATGCTGCCGGCTGATATCAGCTGAGGAGTTAAGCTTTCCACTTGGTTAGCCGCGATCTGCAGCGCTTCGGCGAGTTTTTTGTTGCCGGAACTGCTGCCTGAAAAAAAGGCAGAAGCCTAAATGCCGGAATACCGTCAATTACGACGGATATCTTGCGGCCATAAATAAAGTCAGCCACCCATCTGCAAGGCTTTTCTGGGAGGCCATAGGATGGAAGTTTGCTTAAGAGGGCAGCGTGCCACAGCTGATCGAACGCTTTCGTGATGTCAAGAGTAACGACATGGGCCTCACCATAAGACTGGATGAGTTTACTCCACAATTGCGTGGCGTAAGCTAGGGGGTCCCCTGTGGATCGTTGGTGCCGGAAACCATACTGGCTGTCGCTAATCAAGCTGTGACGTTCGAGGTAGTCCAGAAGCTCGCGATTTATGCACATCTCCATCACCTTACTCATAACAGAAAGCAGAGCTATAGGCCTGTAGTTGTAAGGGTCGGTCTTAGATCCTTTTTTGGGATGGGTTGGACATGAGCAAATTTCCAGCTTTCTGGGAAAGTGCCGGATTCATAAGATATCTGGAAGAGATGCGAAAGAACTGGAGCAAGCTCCGCTGCACACCTCTTCAGTACAACGGCAGGAATCAAGTCCAGACCAGAAGCTTTGTTGATGTCGAGCGACAAGAGCACTCGTCTTACGGTCTTATGCCTAAACGTTACCTCCCGCATAGTGTAGGGAACCCTTTGAACTGACGGCACTTGGGCATTGTGGGGGACGTCCATGGTGGAGTTGGCAGCAAAGATCTTGGTTAGCACTTCCGCCTTGGCCTTTGAGTCGAATACAATCGTTCCATCCTGACACGTCAGTGGTGGGAGGCTAGTGAGAAGTTCTTTCCAATCTGCTTGGCCAGCGTCCAGAAAGATCGACTGCCATTGCGCTGCGACATTACCCTGTGCCTCACTTTTATAGCGTACTGGTTTTTGGCATTGCGAACCGCTTCGTTATATTTGTTTCTGGACTCGACGTCGGCTTGTCTGTTCTCTACAGTGGGGTTTTGTAAGTAGGTTCTGTGTGCCTTGATCTTCTGCTGGCGAGCAGTGTCACACGATTTGTTAAACCAGCCGTTGGACCTCGGTTTAGGCACTGTGTGAGGGATGTATTCCTCCATTCCGACGAGTATAATTTCGGTTAGTGAATTTCGTTGTTCATCTGTTGATAGTTACTCACCAAAGTTTCAGTCATTTTGGACATGTAACAGTCGTTTGAGCAAATCAAAGATGAGTTGGATTCTGTGTATGGGAACTCTGCATCTTTTACCATAGTGAAATTTTGGGCAGCTGAATTCAAACATGGCCGTATAAGTTTGAAAACGGATAGTAAAAACAATAAAATCCTGCAATTTTCTCCATAGTTCGATATACAGGGTGTCCGCAAAGTTGGGGTTTTCCTTTTCAGAAGCAACTACCCTTGAAATAACAAAGGTAATGTGTAGTGAAACGAGGGCGACCAAGTAAAAAAAATAAAGGAAAAAGTACTCACTCTCCAGTCGACGAGAAGGGCTAAGTACGTCTCTGCCCGAAATCATACCGCTCCAACAGAAAATGAAATCAGCTGATGCGCTACCGAGCAGACGCAGAAACCACATTGATTGTCTTACGCTTAATGGCACATCTTCTAACAAGGAAGGCAAAATGTTGCGTAAAAAGTCCAGGTATTGCATCCCGTCCAATCGATTTGGGAGAATAAATGGTCCAATGAGCATACCGTTCACCATGCCAGCCCAAACATTCACCGAAAATGTTTGTTGAAAATGTGCCCGACGGACAGCGTGCGGATTTTCTACTGACCAAACATGAGTGTTGCGTAAGTTATTCACCCCATTACGCGTGAACGTAGATTCGTCTGTCACCAATATGCACTTCAAAAAGTCCGGATTATTGTCATGTTGATGCAACAACCACTCACAAAACCGCACTCTTGCTGGCATATCGTCAGGTTGAAGGGCTTGTACACGTTGGACGTGAAACGGATACAGCCCCTCTTCACGCAGCGTTTGCCACACTTTAGTTTTTGATACTTGCACTTCTCTAGCCCCGTCTCTAGTGCTTGTTGAGGGATTCTCGTCTACGCGATTACCTCTACATGCGTGACCGCAACCGTCGGTTGAAGGTTGCATACTGACCTGACACACTGACCCCGACCCAGTTCTGTCGTCGGGTTGAGACCTTGTACCAATCGGGGATGTCGCGAGTCGCGGCTACAGGACGGTATTCAGATATTTTTGATGTTGCAGAGCCCTTTATCTCGGTTCCCTTAAGACATTGGTGTATATGGTACTAAGAAAAATTGCTTATGTTTTCAAACCCCAACTTTGCGGACACCCTGTATTTGAAATGCTCTACTCGTGACGCTACCATATAAACGCATATACGTACTTGTAGCGACCATTTTCGCAGTTTTCACCGCCCGATTAGAGAACTGCTGCAAATTAGCTGCCTTATCATGGAAATTCTGATCCCTGTTCGGTGTCCCTTCAGGTGCCAACACGGCTTCCGTGAACTGTTTCAAAGGCGTCACTATATCGATGAAATCTTCGACGACTCTGTTGACTACCGCGCTGTTGATCTTTTCTTTGAGCTCGTGCAGCTTCTGTGACAGTTTTCTTGCTATTTCGTGTGCTTGAGGCGTGTTGCCTTTTCCTTGGGCGCACAAATCGGCTAGCTGCCTGCTCAGAGCGTCCACATCGTCGCAAAGTTGGAGGATTTCCGCTTTCTGCATGCCCGGAAGACCCTCTGCAACCTAATTGAGAATATTTTTTTTTAAAAGTCCCAAAATCGGTAACTTTTACTCAAACACAAGTTTATTGACACAATGAAATAGCGTTGTCACAATTCAGTGTGGAAAATCCGATCAATCATGTGGTGACCGTTTTGACGATGCATTGCTGGAAGCGCTCTTGAAGGTTCGCGTAGACTCTCTCCGGCAATAAAATGATGTTTACTACAGGGTGACTTTGAAGTTGAGTCATTAATTTTCAGATAATGATTGTAGAAGGAAGATAAACCAAAATATGTGTGTAAAAATAAAAAAAAAATGTGACCTTGTTTTATAAAGTATCCTCCCGGCAAGTATTTCAGTGCGGACCTGCATTTGATCGTGCGGTCTTGGAGCACCGGCATGCCCTCCCCTGTGAGGTCTTAAGTCACCTGATTCACGAGCCCTTTGTACTACATTCAGCATTTTCGTAAACATGTGCCATTTTTTATTTCGTTTGAGCCAGCCACGCAACAAACACCACTATTCACTCACGCGTTACCGACTGACACATCGACTGAATACAACTGAATAAAATTGTACATTGTAGTAAAACCATCGTTTCAAATTCTTTCGCTTTTTTGTTTCCGATGCGATGAACGGATTATATCCGTTGTTTCCCAACCCGAGCACATAATATTATTATTGAGACAGGGCGGTACTCAAACTTCTAAAGGGCTATAACTTTGTTACTTTAATTTTACCAGAAAAATGTTAAAGGAAAAAACATTTCTTTTGATCAGATCTACTCACTGTTAAAATAAATGACTCAACTTCGAAGTCATGAATGTATATGAAAAAGCATTTGCGGACAACCCTCGTATAATAAGCGATGCAGGATGAGCAAACTTTACCAACCTTTCGTCCTTCTGTAACTATAGCGTTAATAGCTCGCCGTCCAAGTCCTTTATCATCATGCCCTGGGTTTGAAAGCCATTTTCGTGCTTGTTCCATCCTGAAGTAATGTTTTTGTTTAAGATTTATTTAGTATGATTGCTACAATTACATTCTTCTAAAAAACTAAACAATTACGTAACATACAGACGTTCAGAAAAAAAAACAAAATTTGCATCTTTAAGAATTTTCATTGTCCATGAAATATTCCTTTAATTTTCTTTTAAATACCTTTAAATTACAAGTAGACTTTATATCATTATTTAGTTTATTAAATTCAAGTAATCCTTTCTGAAATATTGATTTGCTAGTTATATTACTATTGCAATTTTGTAAATGAAAATCTATATTTCCTCTTGTATAATAATTGTGGTAATGATTATTCAATTCCATGTAGTGTTCTAAATGTTCTGGCAAAAGATGATTTTTTATTTTAAATGTAAAAATAAGAACCAAATATGATATGAAATTATTTATATTTTATATAATTTAGCATTTTTAAAGCAGTGTCTATATTTTCATCTGATATGTATATTAATGTATCATCTGCAAATATCTGAGGTTTACAATAATCTAAAATATTACAAATGTCATTAATGTATAAAATAAACAGTAGTGGACCTAGTTTACTACCTTGTGGTATACCAACAGAAGCATTTTTTGATCTTGATAATGTTGATCCAATTTTGGTCTTTTGACTTCTGTCAATTAAATAGTTTTGTAGAATTTTGAATACAGATCCTTTAAATCCGTAGTGATGCAATTTTGTAAGTAATTTATCGCTGTCAATAGTCTCAAACGCCCTTTTGAAGTACAAAAACACTGTTACTGTATGTTTCCAGCTTGAAATTTGGTTAAAATGTTATTTCCCTCAATAAATTCGATGATCTGTTCGTAAATAATTTCTTTTTCAACATCTGGCTGAACATTTATTGGCCGCATATTGGTGTACAACTCAGAATTCTTCACTTTACAAACAGGAGTTATGGTAGAACACTTCAGTTTTGTTGGATATTCGCCATATTTTAAACAGTAATTTATCAGGATTAATATTCTTGCTCCAATAATATCAAAACATTCATTAAGCACACTTTTAGACAAAATCTCACTCTTATTTTGATTTGATTTAATGTTTGATATAATCTTCTTGAGACGATTAATGTGTATTGTTCTAAACTCACTGAATGATGCATTATAATCTGAGCTAATGGGTCAAATTGATTTTACAATGTCGTGGACACTTTCTATGAAATAGGTATTCATTCGATCTGCTATTATTTCTTCATTTGTTATTACCCCATCGTCGAATTTCATTTTAAATAATGAACTTTTTTTAATAGGAGAAACAGTGTTTTTCAACGTTTTCCAAAAATATTTGCTATTATTTTTACTCTGATCAATTTTGGCATTGTAATATTTTTTTTGGTATCTTGATCTTGTGTATTCTAGCCAATCATTTTTGCTTCCAGTAATCATAAACTTTTTATAATTGTAGTCTCTTTTTAATTTAGAATCCTTGAACGTAATAACAAACAGTTTTTATTAGAAACTTTAAAAATTCAGCGATAAGAACGAACGCAAGGTGAGTAAACATTAGATATTCTAAACTCAAAACACATGAAATATCCAATACGAATACTATTAAAAAATTGTCTCACCTTCCTTGGACAGTATGCGCAGTTTGCTGCAAGCCAGCTTTATCCACGGCAATGACGGCGTTCATGACAGCTTGTTGCAAATGGCCCAATTTGTCTTTGATCCCTCTAGCCAAAGCTTCAGCTTGCGGAGTTGCCCCTTTACCGTCTTGTCTTAGCTCGCAGAGAGCATCTGTCATTGTGGTTAGATCTCCGCATATTTTGTTTATCGTATGCGCATCTTCGGGCAGACATCTAAGAAACATTTGTCAATGATAATGATACAGTAAAAACAATTTTTTGTTGTCGTTGAAGATTTATTTAGCATTAATGCTAAAATGTCAATTTTGTATGATGAATCGGTTACATATTTTTCTTCGATCCATTTTCTGTAATTTTACATTCTTGTCTATTAAAATTAAAATTACGTCACTATGTATTTTGATTATTCATGAAGTGATTTTTTAATTTCACCTTAAACATTTTTAAATTCGAACTCTGTTTAATATCATTATTCAATTTATTAAATACAAATACCCCCTTTTGAAATAAGGATTTACTAGTTATGCTACTATTACAATTTTGCAGATGAAAATCTATACTGCCTCTAGTTTCGTAGTTATGATAATGACTATTTAATTTTGAGAACTTCTCTAATTGTGGTGGTAATAAATGATTTTTTAATTTGAATATGAAAACGAGAGCTAAATAATATATGAAATTTTTCACATCCAACCACCGCAGTTCTTCTAACAAGACTTAATCCTAGCATATTTGTTTTTATTTAAAAAGATTCTCATAGCTTTATTTTGTAGAATTTGTAATTTTGAAAATATGTTTTCATTTGCTGTAAACAAGATGATTGAACAATATAAAAAATGGGGAAGAATTATAGTGTTATACACAATTTTTTGGAATACATACTAAGATTATGGGAAACTCTATAGAAGTAATTTTTCTTTTTCGATATTTTTGAAATAATGCATTCATAATGTTCGTGAAACAGTAGTTTACTATCCACATATATACCAAGATATTTAAAGGCCTCGACTACTTCAATTTTTTCATCAATAATCATGAGCCAAAGTGTATTGTCACCTAAATGTTTCCCTATTAACATACATTTTGTTTTATTAGTGATTAATTTAGGTTTATTGACATTTAACCAATTCATAATTTTTTCAATATCACTATTCAACAGCAAATTTCCCACGAAGTAATTGTAAAGTCCGGTTTTACTTTTGCAAGTTGTTCAAGGCGGTATTTGAAACATGGACGCATAAAAAGGGTACACCAATGTTTGTGGGAAAACTTTTTGTTTGACAACAAAGAATGAGAAAAGGAGTTTTTTTTTGGGATTCAATCGAAAGTGTTGACAGGAACGAAACAACGTTTCATATAATATTTTTAGGTATTAGGTTTTGGCACTTGTTGGTAATGCAACGATGGTTTCTCGCAGATACTTGAAATTCTTCAAATTCGGCTTGAGTTCAAAGTGTGTCTAGACACGTATGTTAGGCAGAAATAGAAGCCGGCGGTGGATAGCAAAGCTCATCACCGCGTTGCCTAACAATGTCGACGCGACACTCTGTATCGTTCCTTGAATTAAGATTCATGTTGAAAATATGCGTTAGTTTATTCTCTTCGCCCAAATAATGGTTTTATTTTGAGCGTTCACATTTTGGAATTGTGTATATACGAATGTGAGTATACAGTAATGGACAAAAGTATATAGACAAATTAATATTGTGCTGTATTTCTTTTTTAACTTGTTTTATTAATACACCAACCCTGTATACATAATTCGTTATAGCATAATGCTCACTTATACATAAATAAATAAAAAATTAATTGAAAAAACTGTAACTATAAAGGACAAAAATATATAGACAAAGCAAAACAATTATAGAAAAAAGAAGCAAAGTTCAATGAATTATAGAAAATCAACCATGTTTGTGGTAATATTTTGTAGCATAACCATTATTATCAATCACCGCCTGGCATCGTCTCGGCATAGACTGTAGAAGTTTCTTGATATAAGATTCATCAATCTGTCTCCACTTTTGCTCTAAAGCGTCAAAAAGTCCATCCTTGTTTGAATAATTTTTATCTCGTATTTGCTTATCTAAGTATTCCCATAGAATTTCAAGGGCATATTGTCTTCCATATAGGGTAACATGACATGCTCTAGTATGTCAGTGTATACAAACTTATCCATAATGCCATCTATTCTATGTAAAGGACCCATCCCAAAACCCGAAAAGCACCCCCAAACCATAACAGACCCGCCTCCATGTTTGACAGTGGGCAAAGTGAACTTGGGGTTCAATCTTTGTCCACTAGGACGTCTAACGTATTGAACACCATCTGATCCAAACATATTGAACTTGGATTCGTCACTGAAACATACCCTCTTCCAGTCACAGATGCTCCAATCAAGATGCAACCGAGCAAATTTTAATCGGTCCTTACGGTTTTTCCTTGAGATTAGCGGCTTCTTACTCGGGAGACGTGCAAATAACTTTAAATCACTTAATCTTCTACTTATAGTTTTCGTAGAAACACTGACAATTCCTTTTGTCTCGATTTCGGCTTTTATTTGTCTTGTGGTTTTAAACGGATCTTTGGACGAAATTACTTTATTAATCTAACTGATCTAGCATTTAGTTTTCTAGGCCGACCACTTCTCTGAGAGGCTTCCAAGATAACTTTTTGTTTATATTTGTTCGATATTGCCCAAACTGCTTTACGCTTCAGCTTCAAATTTTTGGCAATGTCGACTTCACGTTGACCATCTTTGTATAACTCAATGATCTTAGTTTTCACATCGAAAGAAATTTCTAGACCACGCGGCAGGGTCTTAAAATCACTCAACTTATTCCACAATACATAATATGATGAACACAAACTAATCCTCTTCTGACACAAAATTGTACTAAACTAATGTTGAAAAGAATTTGTCTACATATTTTTGTCCTTCATACAAAAGTGCTTATATTCAGATTTGTATTGTGTTCATTGCAGATAATGTAAAAACAAGGAGTTTAGTTTTTCTACTAATAACGCATTTGTTTATGGAGCAATGAAGTATGAATTCGTTTTCTAAAGGTATTAAGGTAAATATTCATATTTGTCTACATACTTTTGTCCATTACTGTATGTCCAGTCTATCAGCATCACGTATGAACCACAATACAGAAAGAATAAAAAAGTTGTACACAACCCATCGTTTTCTACATGATAGCAAGCAAAGGGAATTCTAACTAACCAATAATATCCTGTGAGAGATAAAAAACCACGAAAGACCCGCCTACCAGCCATTCGCGTAGCAGAGCGCCTGTAGAATATTCTGCAGACGATAATCGTATTGGTTGACCAATCAGCGTCAAACATTTTTTGTGCGATTATTTCTGTTTACTGATACGAGCGTTCCAACGAGTTTCTTCTGTTTCGCGAGAGAAGTGGGCAGAAATAAACTCCTCTTCAATTTGTATTGGTGGAGTTATTATGTTTATAATTTGGTTGCATTTTGCAGATATATTTTGCAAACAATAATTTTATCGGTTACGAATCAGCCATTTCTGTGACTAATATTCTTTTTGCCGATAAGACCACTGGAAAAAATTCGCATGAACTCGTCGATTTTTATTCCGATGCAATAATAATTCGCACCTGTTTAGTGTTACAAAAAAAATCGATTATTTTTAGAAAGATTTTTTTGATTGAATCGTAGTTTCTTTGATCTCTATCAATTTGTACTGCCTAACCTTCAATTTGTGTTACTGTGTCTATGATGGTTCTCTGAATATTTCGTCAAGTAGATCGACTCAGTACTTCGACTATTATCGAAGGAGGAGGAGAAAGTATAGTCAGATGATTAATGTCTTCTGTGTTCAGAGCCTTCTTGTCTGCTTGATCATTCAAAAAATCGATATTTTAAGAATACCTCACAACAATTTGACAACATTACACCTGAATAATAAATCTCAAGTATTTTGTATACCTACCAACATGACGCGCAAAAGTCATTTTTGGATCCGATTCAAAAATTGAAAACGTGCGACAGAGATAAATAGATGCAATATTTTTTATGCCTTAGATACTCATTAATGTTGTTTCCCGACAAATAAGTCATAGCATCCTTAGAAAAAAAAAACTAATACATAACATTATATGATATGATACTCCAATCTTTTACGTACTGTGAGCCATCACTAGACTGAAAATTTTACACTTTTTAAAAAAATCCAATATGGCTACCATAAGAAAAATGAAAGTTGAGGCGGGCTGCTGGAAAACAAAAGACGATTTAGACATGTCATACACGCTATATTTCTTGAAAAAATGTCCCAATAATGTCACATTTTGACAGCTATCAAATTAACTGTTTTGGATTTACTGGCAAAAAACAAATTCCGCCATTTTCGGTTTTTCGCTGATATTTCCAAAACCAACTGACCGATCGTAAATCTGAAGTCGGCTATCGAAAGCACCAAGTTTCCTATAAAACATAACCCATTTAACCTTTGCTGTAGGTATAACAGGAGCCGGACGCAGGAAAGTAAACGCATATTAAAACAAGAAATATTGATATTCAAATCAAGTTGGGTACTTTATTTTGAAGGTTCATTTATACCATTTATGTATGAAAAATAATATCGCTCAAATGTTCACCACGACTGGATTTACAGACGTCCACGCGATGGTCGAAATTTTCAATGACATTTTGCAACATGGTCGGTTCTATGGCATTTATCTCGGTAATGATGTTGTTTTTGAGTTTTTGGAGGGTGGCTGGTTTGTTGACGTAGACTTTGCTTTTCAAATATCCCCATAAAAAGAAGTCCAAGGGAGTCAAATCGCACGATCTTGGTGGCCATGGCACATTTCCTCTGCGCGAAATCACGCGATCACCGAAGAAGGACTGCAATCGATGGATATTGACGTTGGTTGTGTGGCATGTTGCACCGTCTTGTTGGAAATAAACATCGTCCATATCCATTCCTTCAAGTTGCGGCAAAAATAGTCCTCTATCACCACGTGATATCGCTCAGAATTGACGGTAACGGCGTCCCCGGCCGTATTTTCGAAAAAGTAAGGTCCGATGATGCCTTTTGACCATAATGCACACCACACAGTCACTTTTTGAGGATGCATCGGCTGCTCTTGATACTCACGGGGATTTTCGTTCGCCCAGATGCGGCAGTTTTGCTTGTTTACCGTCCCATTCAAAGTGAAATGCGCTTCGTCGCTGAACATGATTTTTGATGAAAAATTGGCATCAATTTGGCGGTGTTCAAGGAGCCAATCTGAGAACGTTCGGCGCGAAAAATGGTCGGCCCGACGCAGCTCTTGCGTCAATTGGATCTTGTGGAGAATACGGAGCAAACTGGTTCTCGAAATGCCCAATTCTTGGGATCGACGCGTTGTTGATTGTTTCGGATCGTCTCTCACACTCTCCTTCACAACAGCAATATTTTCCGGTGTGCGAACGCTCCTTGGCCGGCCAGAGCCTGGCAGATTTGCCACAGAACCTGTTGCCTCGAATTTACGCACCAGACGACCGATGGTTGTTTCGTTTGGGCGGTTGTTGCGACCGAAATGTTCACGAAGCGCGCGAAACGTGTTTTATATTTTTGCACCATTTTTGTAGTGCTCTTGAATAACTTTAATGCGGTCTTCAATCGAATACGACTCCATAGCGATCAATGGTAAACATTCAACTAACAAAATGACATGTCGGTGACAGAAAACAAAGATGGCGTCTATGTCAAATTGACGTTTACTTTCCTGCGTCCCTATTGGACAACCCTTTATATACCTTGTTTGAGAAGTGAGAAAAAGCTCGCGCAATAATTGTCCACTTTTAAAACTGGGCATGTAATGTACTATTTTATTGTAAGAGTACAAACATTTAGGATATCTGGGGGTAAGGGATACCGATGATAAGTCTATTAAATTGCAAAAATAAAAATTCTTCTAGAACACCCAGGATATATCATAGATTCATAAGCTAGAATTATTCACCTTTCAGCTACTTTTCTAGCAGATTCTATTATAGATCTCAGTGACTTCTCTCCCACACCTCCTCGAACAGCGTTAGGGTCCTGAAACAGGTAAAATCGTTGAAAAAACATCATATACACAGACAGAGAGAAACGTACCAATAGCCAATCGTTCGCAGCATTGATCTTGTTGGCAATTGCATTCTGCAGTTTCTTGAGTACAGTCAAGTTGTCCAAATCGGACTGTTCTTCATCGTAGCTGGTCAATTGCAGTACTCGAATAATTTCATTGATCTCATCTGTCATTCTTTGGGCTAAGTAATTTCTATTTTCAGCCGCCTCCTCAGCACCTTTACCTCCTTGGGCGACGATGTGAATGTAGATTTTCATGGCACAAATTAAGATCGGAGCTAAGGTTTTCACTTGCTCTAGGCACCTCACCAAAATTTCAGAATGCACCTGGAAAAAATAGGCTTTGGTCACAATCTACAGAGATGAAACAACTGTGACATATATGCGAGGTTTGTCTGGAAAATACGAATAAAAGTGGAATAAAAACTTTATGTTAGGTATTTCCATATGGTCTCCTTCAAAGTACTCCCTGAGACAAGATGCACTTCTGCCAACGCCGTTTCCACTGTTGATACGATCGCTGATCGTCTTTAATTGTGAGGCTCTTCATTTGCCGAGTCGTTTCAGCCTTGACGGCTGCCACATCCCCCAAGTGCCAAGGGGATAAATCGGATGAAAAAGGCTGGTATTCTGTCACTTTTTTTCATTTTCAGTTTTTTTGTCAGAATTTAGTGGACGATTGTTATGGCGATTGACAGTGCCTCACCTATCATTCTAACTGTCAATCGACGATCTTTAAGAACACAGCCCCGAATTTGTTCAACATTTCCATCAGAGCTCGATGAGAAGGGGCGTCCTGAGCGTTGGTCATCTTTCACATCTTTCCCAAAACCTGTTCAACCACTTGTTGACAGTTGGTTACCTCCGAGAATTGTCTCCATAAACCTGTTCCAAACACTTGCAAGAAACTTGAACAGAGCATAGAGGAGATTGCATAGAGAGAGGGGACCACCGGACCACCCCTCCACCCTTGACACGATGCCCCGAATTTTTTATACGTATTTTCCGGACAAATCTCGTAGGTATTGTGTTTGCAAGTTGAAAGGAAACTAGCAGTTTGTTCTCAAGATAATTTTCATAACATTTACGTATTCTATTATGTGGAACTCCATATTTTCCCATTCTATTTCATGTTTCATAAGAAATAAATCGAAAACTTAGTTTTTGAAATACTTGGTGCTTTAATTTTTATATTGACATGTTTTTTCAAAGTTTGCATGAAACTAAAGGTTTTTGTCCTCAAAATATTTCCTGCAATGGAGTGAATGGAGTAGCCTGTTTCCTCGTCGACAAAGGGAAGTAAAAATTTCGTTTTTATCAGAAACATATTTTTGTCCATCTAATTTTGTGAAATATTGATAAACCCGTGGTTTCTCTCGTATTGATGTTATTACACGCATTATTTTATTTGAGAAACTGATTATGGAAATGCCCTAAAAAGTAGAATTATAAACTTAGGAGACATTAAAATGTCACTACAAAATTGAAAGAAAATATTTTATTCAGTTTTTAATATAGTCAAAATCACGAAAGATGACTGTTACGTCATACCATAAATTGTACTGAAGTAATCAATGGACGTTTGTCGATGATAAAATCACGAGTCAGAAACATAATGACAACAAATTTATATTATGATTTTGCGAAATTAGGTTATTTCACTGATTATTTTTATTTTCATTTTATTTCATGGTTTTGAGTGACCTTAATAATAATTTTAGTAAGGAGTTTTTGTTTTGAAAAAAAAACAGTTAAGAGTAGAATACCTTAAGACAGGAATAGCAAAGACCAAAGTATTATTCGAAAACAACCTAACCTGCTTTAACATAACCTAACTATTCATCTTTCAAATATGATCGATCATGCAAAACATGAAAGCATCGTCTATCTTTGTCAGATAGATGCAAATTAGCAATACAGTTTGTTTAGACAATAAAATTTTGTTTGTCTCTGTCTAACATATCAGAAACTTCATTAAATATATTCAAAAATCGCTCTTGTTTGTCTTTACTACAGACTAAAATGATGACGTAATCGTCATCTTTCGTGATTTCGACTATTTACTAAGCTGAAAAGCTAATGCATCCATAATTTGTGTCATATTAAACCACTCAGTAAGGAAACACGTACAATTGCGTTTTATTGCTATGAAGCGTGTTGTCTGATGGATGATTTGAAAGAGACTGTCTGTTAGAGAAGAGTCATCGATCAGTCGGACAGCCCTCCCAAACGCAATACTCGATGCTAACCTGGGCCTTGTATAGAGTAAGTAGAGGGTGGTCCCAGAAGTACCCGGCCTGACCTAGAGATGGCGATAGTTGTTTGAAAAGTATCATTGTATTAGAAGCTATGCAACCTATAAAGCATATGTGTCAAGTTTGAAGACGCCACATTGTTTAGTATTTGTTTGGCAGCCATCAATACTGAACGTTTTCAGTGAGTTTGAGAAAATGGAGAAAACTGGTCATCGTTATGTGGTACAATACTTTTATTTCAACCAGTATAAAAGCTGAACTGGATTCTACTCTGGGTAAGTCTGCTTCTTCGTTTACAACAGTAAAATATTGGGTAGCAGAGTTTAAACGAGGCCGTATTACCTGCCAAGACGAGCATCGCAGTCGTCGACTAAATGAGGTGACGACTCCAGAAATGGTGAAGAAAATTCACAAAGCGGTACTGAATGATCGTCGACTGAAAGTGGGCGAGCTAGCAGACATAGTAGGCATTTCTAAAAGTGCGGTTCATTGCATATTAAGTGAAAATTTGGACATGAGAAAGCTGTGTGCAAGATGGGTGCCGCGATTGCTCACAATTGAGCAAAAACAGTGTCGTGAAGATGTTTCAATTGAGTGATTAGCGAAGTTTCATTGCAACAAAGCAGAATTTTTGCGTCGTTTGAAACATGGCTCCATCACTTTACACCCGAGACAAAAGAACAATCAAAACAATCGACTCAAAAGGGACAACCGGCTCCAAAGAAGGCGAAGACCGTTTCATCTGCAGGCAAGGTTATGGCGTCGGTTTTTTTGGGATGCGCGTGGGATAATTTTCATTGACTATCTTGAAAAAGGTAAAACTATCAACGGCAAGTATTATGCGAACTTCTTGCAAAATTTGAGCGATGAAATCAAGCAAAAAAGGCCGCATTTGGTTAAGAAGAAAGTGTTGTTTCATCAAGACAATGTACCAGCTCACGAATCCGTTATTGCAATGGCCAAAATTAACGAATTAAAGTTTGAACTGCTACCTCATGCACCCTATTCACCAGATTTAGCCCCCTCGGATTATTTTCTGTTTCCAAACTTGAAAAAATATCTCAGTGGTCAAAGATTTTCCAACGATGAAGAAGTGATGTCGGCAGTTAATGGCTATTTTGAGGAGCAAGACAGTTCTTATTATACAAAGGGTATCGAACTTATTGAACATCGCTGGGAAAAGTATATAGAGCTCAAAGGAGATTATGTTGAAAACTAAATACATTTTTTTACAAAAAATGTGTGTTTTCATCGTTGAGTCGGGTACTTCTGGGACCACCCTCGTATATGGCTGGAGAAATGCGAAATATGACACTACTATTTCATTGTAATTTCAGCATGTCAGAATATCGCAATAAGAAATGGAAAAGTCCGAATTGAATGGCTCTTTGGCAGAACTCGGCCATTAATAGAAACCAGATGAACGCTAGGACGCTTTTTGTTCGTCAAGGTACTGCGTTTTGGAAGCAATAAGCTGTACAATATTGTTGCGTCTCCAAGCAGCGATAGCCTCCAGGTCTCTCGTCGGAGATGAAATCGCTGTTAGACTTTTTCTTATAAAGTTAAAGGATAGATAGAATGTTTGTCAATCATATTTTTCTTACCTGATGAGTCAGTTCCTTCTCTCTAGCGCTCACCTCTCTAGACACTTTGCTCAAGCAGGGACTCAAGTCCCTCAGAAAATTAACGAGTTCATCCATAGTTTCGATGACTTCAGCAACAGCTAGATAGTCTAAGACTCTGTGACATTCCCTGATTATCTTCCTGACTTCAGATTCGTCAAAGCACAACAGAAGAGCAGACGTTGCCTATAAGAGAAACAGATTAAATTCAGGAGTTTAAAATATTATTACATGAAAACAGTTTCACTTTAGAAAAAAAACGAACTACGGACTAGACAGTTCAATAATCTACGTAAAATGATCATACAGTTTGTTTAAATAACGAAGTAGTAGCTCTTATCTGTTTTATAGGCCATATTGTGAATATGCATATTGAAGTTTCCAACAAAGTAACTGACATTTAACTACAACGTATTACACTGTGAATCTTGAATCAAGATAAATAACAGCACCTGAAGAATTCCTCCGCTGCCTTCTATCAACCTTTTTCTAGCAGGAGAAGAATAAGGGTCTTCCTTAAGCATCCTACTTGCTTCTTCCAGCAACCTGGCAGATCGTTCAACTCGCACCAACGCGGCAGGCATGTCTTGCCGTAAGATCGGATCATCTGAACTGTTTATTGTCTCCCTTCCAACCTAGAAACAATGCAGAAAAATAGCGTCAATCAGATTGGCTCTATACTTTCTTCGCCTTCTTTGGCGGTTTCAAAAGAAAGCGATGAGTCAACTCGTTTCAAAAGGCGTAATCGAATCGTGATTAGGTAGGTTCACTTAGGGACGTTGAATATTCGAAATCTGCATATCAAACTATACTAAGTGACATATAAATCCGAACACCCAGTTTAAATGGTTTTATTTTAATACAAGTTGGTGAATGTATTTATCTTCTTATCCTGGTCGTGCCAGGGTTAGAAGGCGACGTGGTGAAAGGAGGAATCCACAGTTTTTTGTTGAAAGACATGTTCATCACACTGTTGGAGTTATGGTTTGGGGTGCTATAGCTTATGGTTCCAGGTCACCTTTAATCTTCATCAGAGGTAACATGAACGCGCAGCGTTATATCCACGAAGTTCTAGAACCCCATCTTTTACCCTATCTTGACACCCTGGCAGATCCAACTTTCCAACAAGATAATTCCCGACCACATGTTGCAAGAGTCACAATAGACTTCTTTCTACATAATGATGTCACATTTCTACCATGGCCACCAAAATCTCCCGACTTATCCCCAATTGAGCACGTGTGGGATATGATGGGTAGGAGATTGCCCAATTTGCAACGTCCTCCTAAGACTCTAGAAGCACTTCGAGAGGAGTTGGTGGTTGCCTGGAATGATATACCACAGGAGGACATTGACCACCTGATCAGAAGCATGCCTAGGCGCGTTGGAGAATGCGTAGCACATCAGGGTGCATCCACACATTATTAAAGGTCAAAGGGCTCTAAAGCAGTGCAATCATTTTGAAATTTTTATCATGTACTTATTATGCTTCATTAAGTACTTATACAAAATTTTATTAAAATAAAACCATTTAAACTGGGTGTTCGGATTTATATGTCACTTAGTATATGTATATATGAGCCCTGTCTCAGTAAAGTTGGCGCAATGCCCCAAAACAAGATATTTGTGAATTTATTTGAGTGCTAATTAAGATTTTATTCCAAATATAATATTTTTGGTTTCTTTAAATGTTTATGGCAAGATATCAAAACCGATGAGGCTGTTTTTAAAGCGTTTTTACTTAGAAATTTATTCGCCTCGATAAAATAAAGGTAGGCTTTGAAAACAAAAGATAACATTTTACGTTGCTAAGTCGCAAAAAACGCGTATTTTTGCAATTTTTCGCTAAATAATTAGATCTAAATGATAAACGGGATCAGATATACGTGAAACGACCTCGGATTCGGTATTGGCAACCCAAAAGACGTGGAATACAGGTCATTTGAACGGCATTTAAAGCATTTCAACATATAATTATCATGTATAGGGGTATTGTTACCAAAAAACTTGTAAAAGTATGCTCAAAATTTCGGCACTCCTAGTCGGTGTTGCGTTTTATATGTCACTTAGTATATATAAATATTTCTCCTGTAGCGGTGTGTCAGTGACGACTCTACCGCAGACCATTTCGAGTTTATTACCCATTGCAGAGTTTTTGCTCTCTATTATAGAAGAACGATCCAGCTTGATATACAATTTCAGTGCACATTTTAATGACAGTAACATGACCTCTACAGATATTCCAACCACAGCTGAGCCTGTTTACGCTATCTGATTGAAACTTGTTATGAAGATATTCCTTCAATCGTTAAATAAACCGCACTTTATTATGAACAGATAAACTGACCTTCCTTTACATGCATAATTAATTGCAGATCAATAAATTTTAGTAAGATGCTATATATAAGTGATATGGTTAAATACGCTTGAATCGACACTGCGATAGTTATTTACCTAACAAGTACGGAAAGTGATACTTTTTACTTTCCGCAATTGTCAGGTATAAGATATTTTACTAATATCGTGCGGAAAATTGCTACTTTCTGTACGCAGATGCGTGTTAAAAGTCCTTTGCACACGCTGATAGAAAATAGTTATTTATGTATCTATGCTGTAAAGAGAGTGTTAACGTCCTTGGGGTATAAGACGCCATGGGATATAAATGTCTGTCAAATTGAAAATTTTATCTGCGACTGGCTACAATAAAAAAGGCGTAAAGTAGGTTGACTCTGCACTTTCCTGGTAACGCTATCATCAGTTTATAAAACATTATGTTCTGCACAAATTTGCCCCACTGCACTGTAATGGGTCAGTCGGGAACGTGAGCCCAACCGTTCTTATAATACGTTTTTTGGGTCGCTGAAACCGAATCCGGGGCCATGTCTGTCCTTAAATGCCTCGTTTTGAGATACTGGCAAGGATTCCACTTGGTCAAAAAACGGTTAATTAAAAATCTCAAAAAACTGTTGCGCGTGTGTGTTCTAGATGGGAGCTTGTTTTTTCCAATTTAATGCTACGTTTCAACGGTAGCCCCGGGTAACTGTTTTTTACCCCCCAAATCCGGACCGATGCGGCTTTAGAATCTTTTCACTGTGATACTCATAATCAGCGCCAAAATTACCCTTCGCTTACTTGTGGCCATCGATAATAAAAATGGATTTTTATCACCTCAAAGTCGCAAGAAACGCATAGTTTTGCAATTTTCGCTAAATAATCAGATCTACATGATAAACGGAATCACATACATGTAAAACGACCTCGGATTCGGTATTGGCTACACACAATACGTGAAATAAAGGTCATTTGAACCGCATTTAAAGCATTTTAGCATATAATCACCATGTATAGGGGTTTTCAAGATACTGGCAAGAATCAACTTCGTCAAAAAACGACTAAAAAAAAAATTTCTAAAAACTGTTGCGCGTCTATGATCGAGATGGAAGTTTGTTTTCTGAGTAAATCGGGTACGTAGATTCCAAATTCAATGTCGATACATTGCTAGAATTTACGGCTAGCCCGGAAAAATGGTTTCTTGTCAACTTTTCACCCTAAATCCAGTCTGATAACACTTCAGAATTTTCAACTGTGATATTCATATTCAGCACCCCAAATTACCTTAGCACCTTAAAGTCACAAAAAACGCATAATTTTGCAATTTTTCGCTAAGTAATTAGATCTACATCATAAACGCGGGATCAGATACATGAAACAACTTCGGATTAGCTTTTAGCGACACAAAATGCGTACAATAGAGGCCATTTGAGCCTCATTAGAAGCACTTAGTTTTTAGTTACCATGTATAAGGGGGTTACAAAAAAAGGCAAGAATGGGTCAGTCGGGAACGTAAGACCAACCATTCTTATAATACGATTTTTGTGTCGCTGAAACCGAATCCGGGCTCATTCAGTCTGGAAATGCCTCAGTTTTGAGATACTGCCAAACATTCTACTTTGTCAAAAAGCGGCTAATATACTAAGTGACATATAAATCTGAACACCCAGTTTAAATGGTTTTATTTTAATAAAAGTTGGTGAATGTATTTATCTTACTGTAAATAACAAGTGAAAAAATTTTCAGCCTTATCAGTTGGACATTCCGGTTTTTATACTGCATTTTTTTAATTCACTAACGCTCTAAAAATGAATATTTCAGCCGCAGTAAAGAATCAACGTTAGCGGATTTTGGTTCTTGACATCCTTTACGATCGGTTACGATGCCTGTACGATTTCGTCAACTTAGTGAGTTTGATAGGGGCCGTATAGTGGGACTTCGGGAAGCTGGACTTTCTTTTCGGACAATTGCAGTTAGAGTGCAAAGAAGTGTAGACACTGTGGTTAGGTGTTGTCAGGCATGGCTTCGAGAAGGCCGTACGCAAAGAGCAAGGGGCACTGGACGCCGCCGTAGAACAACAGACCGTGAAGATCGCCGCCTAAGATTATTGGCCTTAAGGGACCGTTTCTCCACTACCAGGTCCATTGCAAATGAATGGTTTGCAGAACACGGAAGACCTATTGGCATGCGAAGTGTTTACCGACGAATGAGAAGTTTTGGGTTGTTTTCATACCGGCCACACTGGGTCCTCCCTTTAACTCGAGAACACCGACGTAATCGCCTTGAGTGGTGCAGACAACGGTCACTCTGGGATCAGGAATGGAACAGTATTGTCTTTAGTGACGAGTCTCGATTTTGTTTAGGCATGCACGATGGTCGTGCCAGGGTTAGAAGGCGACGTGGTGAAAGGAGGAATCCACAGTTTTTTGTTGAAAGACATGTTCATCACACTGTTGGAGTTATGGTTTGGGGTGCTATAGCTTATGGTTCCAGGTCACCTTTAATCTTCATCAGAGGTAACATGAACGCGCAGCGTTATATCCACGAAGTTCTAGAACCCCATCTTTTACCCTATCTTGACACCCTGGCAGATCCAACTTTCCAACAAGATAATGCCCTACCACATGTTGCAAGAGTCACAATAGACTTCTTTCAACATAATGATGTCACATTGTTACCATGGCCACCAAGATCTCCCGACTTATCCCCAATTGAGCACGTGTGGGATATGATGGGTAGGAGATTGCTCAATTTGCAACGTCCTCCTCAGACTCTAGAAGCACAGGAGTTGGTGGTTGCCTGGAATGAGATACCACAGGAGGACATTGACCACCTGATCAGAAGCATGCCTAGGCGCGTTGGAGAATGCGTAGCACATCAGGGTGCATCCACACATTATTAAAGGTTAAAGGGCTTTAAAGTAGTGCAATCATTAAGTACTTATACAAAATTTTATTAAAATAAAACCATTTAAACTGGGTGTTCGGATTTATGTCACTTAGTATAAAAAACCTCCAACTGTTGCGTGCCTCTGATCTAGATAGGAGCTTGTTTTCTAGGTAAATTATGTGCGTAGATTCTGAAGTCAATTAAACGGTTAATTTGGTGGAGATTCCTTCATATAAATTCCTCTGTAACTACATAATTTTGCTTGTAGCATTCCACATTAAAAAGACATTACGGAAATCTCTATTACTAATCAAAAACAAAGTGCGGGAATAAGGCGGAATAATTCCAAGAACTGACTTCACATTTATTGGCCTCCAGACATTTTTCCTTATATTGTGATGGACAACAGGCAGCA